CAAATTAAGTTTGGTGTATGAAAAAAAGTTTTTGGACCAAAATCGAAGCAATTTTTTATTTCAGTCTGTTCCTAAAGCTCAAGAGAAAGAAAACGAAATCAAAAAAATAAAATAAAGTAAAATAAAATAAAAGATCAACGCTTTCAAGTGCCCACTTGGCACAATATAAAAAAGTATCTTTGCGCTTCTTATGCGAAGGCGATTGCTCTCTATATGCGAGTGCGTGGGTAGTACAAGAAGTTCGTTGGGCGTGGGCTGAAATCAATCTATTAATATATAATGATACTTATATGGATTAAGAAATTTGTAGCGCAGTAAAAGTTTTCATAGAGCGTTTTCCCTTTCAGTTCAATAAGAGAAATTCAGCTGCAAGATTGAGATAATTTAATAAAAATATTATAAATTTTTTGATATATATTATTAAATAATTTGATTTTTTTATTTAAATTAAAAATGAAGAAAAATTCAAGTTGTTAAAAGAAAATGTTGAGTATTTTTTAATAAATATAAATAATAATAATAAAAAGTATTTAATAAATATATATATTTCAATAAAATATTTAAATTTTACCTTCAGCCATAGAGCATTATATCTAATATTTGCCTTTATAAATCACTTCGCCCTTCTGGCATTTTGCAACCCTTTGAACCACTCCGATTGGTCAAGTCACCGTCCGGACTGAATCAACAGTTTCTCTGGCAATTTGGCGGGTCAGATTCAACTCGAAATGAACGCAAATGCGAAAATTACACCCCAAGCGACCAATTTAAAGCCATTAAATTATAATTTTGTAAATTTTAAAGAGCCTATGCCAGCCGCTCAGCCAGATATGCCAGAGATGCCCAGAAATGCCCAGAGACTGTGGACGAAGACACCCGAACGAACGCATTATTCAATTAGTGTGAAATGCTATTTGTTTATTTTCGGAGTAGAATTGTGGCACGTCGTTTATTTTGTTGTCTTTAGTTGGCTTAGTACAGAATTGTGGCGATTGCTCAACACTGGCGGAAGCAAATGACGACGACAACAGCAACAACAACAACAAAACAGTTAATTGTAAACGAAAAGCGAAAAAGCACAAATAGAAATAGAAGTGGATGTAGGTGTAAGTTGTAAGTATGTGTGTGTGTGTGTGTGTTGGTTACGTTTATCTGCTTTAATCTGCGCTTGCAACTGTCCCCAACTGACACTCATAATTAAAGAAACAAATAAAGCACACACACTGAGCATAACAGACGACAGCAACAACAGCAACGCCAGCAGCCTCCACAGCCTCGCGGCGAACACATTAACATAGTGCAAGAAAATAATAACAACAACAACAACAGCAACCACAAGAGTAGCAACAGCAGCAGCGACGACGACGACGACGACGACGACGACGGCACTTGTCGTGTCTGCGCGTCTGCGCGCAGCGACGCGTCCGATTTCCAAGGCAGCGGCGCAAAGCTTTCAGCTGCTGTCGCTGCCGTTGCGACTGCGCTGCCTTGACTTTGACTTTGGTCTGGAGCTTTTAAGCTGGCGTCGCAGCCGCTGCCGGCGTTGGTAACTTCTTCGTGTCTGCAAACGGCTGCTGTCTTAGTTCTTAAGTCCGTCGTTGGCGTGCTCCTCTTCAGTTCGTTGCTGACCAACGTAACGTGCGGACGTGCCCAGCTCGCCTCCACAAACGAACCAAAAACCAAAAAAATAAAGAAGAAAGAAAGAAATTTCAACAAACCGAAATAAAACAGAGCAGCGAGGCGAAATACAGTGCAAATTTTAACATTTAATGGTAAAATATATATGAATATAAATCAAACATCAGAAACGAGTGCGCGACGCGTGTGTTGAAACGGAAATAAAAATATATTTAAAATTAAATCAAATAAATAATAATATATAAATAATGAATAATAATAATTAGGTCTAATGTGTTGCATTTAATATATACGTTATTTTATGCGCCTGGCCAAAAGGAAAAAAAAACTGTTCAAGAATTTCACCAACTCGCTTGTGTTGTTGTTGTTGTTGTTGTTGCTGTTACGGTCTCGATCTCTCGTAGAACGTCGCTTCAATGGGGTTTTTTGTGTGTTTGCTGTTTGGGGCTGTGACGGCGTTGATTTTGTCCATGTCCAGCCCAAAAGGAGATGGAGGGGGCAGCTCTCTGTGCATGTGTGTGTGTGTGTGTGTGTGGCAGTTGTTGTCCATGTCCAAGGCGCGGCCAGCGGCGACTGTAATTTCTGTCTTGCGCATTCTAAACACACACACACACACATAAACACACACTCACACTCGAAAAAGCAAACAAACAAACAAACAAACATGGAACGCAGTCAAGTGAAGACGAGTTGCAGGCAGAGCTGCAGAGGAGCAGAGCCGGCGGGCGGGCAGAGAGTCAGAGGCAAGCAGATGAAGACACTCCTGCCTTGGCTAGTTTGGGAGGAGATGCAGATGCAACAACTGCAGCAGCAGCAGCAGCCACAGCAGCAACAGCAGCATCAACTGTTGCTGCACATGTGTTAGCGCTCTCTCGCTCTAGCACGCTGCATTGCCATATTGGGCGCATAACGGTGCAAAAATCGCGCTGCTTTTTAGCCTCTATCCATGTGCATGTGCATGTGTATGCATGTGTGTGTGCTGCTTTTTATGCTGCCAAGTTTATGTCCATGGCTGCTGCATTGATGACGACCCAGCGACCGATAGACCAACCAAAGTGCGATCAAGCGAAAACCGCAAAAAAATAAGAAAAATTGGGGAGGGGAAGAACAACATCAGAATCGAAATAAAAAATGAGCAAGAAAAATGCACTCTGCAACTCCATTTGCAGTTTTGCGGTTGTTTGCAGCAGCCGCAACACTTCACACACACACAGACACACACCCATACGCACACACACGTTAAGTGCGCTGCTTGGCACTTGGCCTTACCATTGGCCACATCCTCGACTCGCATCCTGCTGCTGCTCCTGTGAGTGGGTCAGCGGCAGCAATCAATCTGCTGGCCTTCGCTGCATCGCTGCTCCGCTGATTGAATGCCTGCGCCTCGGGCAGCGCTTGACGACGCCCCCTGCACTTGCACTTTGACCGCAATGCAAATAATCATCATTTGCCAGGACTTGCTCGCAACGAGAAGAAAACATAAAAAATTACAAAATAAACCGCTAGCAACAGCAACAGCAACGTGACTACACTGAGCGAAATCGGATGTTCATTGGGGAAATATAGGAAAAAAACTATAGAAAATGTAGGGCAATAGATGGAAACATGCCATTTTTGGTAGACTATTTAATATATTGCAGAGTTCTTTGGGAGTTTTAGCGTAAAATGCATTTGAAGTGAACTAAACCATTTATCATCTGTGAGAAAAGCTGAGGAAACTTTTCTTATTTCATTTTAATGCAGCTGCAGATATTCTCATATAAATATCTTCCTTTAGGGATTGATATATAACTTTGTATTGTTTTTTTTTTTTTATAATTTTTTTAAATTTATAATGTTTAAAAAAAATCTAAAGCACAGGGAAGAATAATATCACAAATATATTTGGAGCCTCTAGCAAATGTTATGGAACAGTCCAGCCTCTTTCATTTTTTGCCTTTGAAAGAATGTTCAAGAAAATATTTTTCGAAATGGAAAATTTCAACAGTCAAAGACTTTGCTATCCTATATATATTGAAAAGTTGTTATACCTTTAGTACTCATGCTGGTCAAAAATAGAAATATTAAATAAAATATTTTAATATAAAAAATCGAAATTAAAGAAGAGATAATAATTTGAACCTCTCAAGAGTTCAGAGACTCCAAAAGTTTCTTCTTTAAGAGCAAGCAACTAAAAAATATTTGTACAATATCAAATGAAACCAGCAATAGTTTGTCAATTAATGTATAACTAATATATTTATATATACATATATCAAAATATCCCACATTTCTGTGACTTTCGTCAAGTCTCAACTTGAACTGCTCCAAAGCATTTTCTCACTGTCCGTCGCGCTATAATTTACAAGAGCATTATTGGTCAATAGGTTATGGCTGTGCAGCATCCACAGTTGCCAGCTATATGGGTGCGAGTGTGTGTGTCTGTGTGCCCTAAGGCATTAGCATAGACTGACTGCAGTTTAATGGGCCACACAGACAACGCTGCTCACTAATTTTTATGTGCACAGCTTGCGGCTCTTTGGGTTGCAGCCCACTTTAAACGGAACTCGAAGTCAGGCAACGCCTATAAGTTCTTTTTTTTTTTGTTTCCACTTTTTTTTATTATTATTAAGTTATAAAAACTACGGCAACAACAACAACAACAACTAGAAGACAACATGCACAGAGATCTTGGCTGAGAAGTAGCCCAAATCCGACCAAAAATTGAATGCCGTCTAACGGTCATGGAGCTGACTGACAACACGTTGTCGTCACATTCCCAAGCTCACAAGCATTGCAATAAAATTAGATTTTATAACTGAAAAAAAAATGTAGAGGAAGAGGAAGGCGCACAAGAACTAGTGGAGGCAGTCCCCAAAAATATCCAAGACAATTCTATAAACAGTGAGAGGCAAAACCAAAAAAACAAAAAAATAACAAAAAGTAGACAAAGGTCGTCACAGCAAGTGAAAATAGCAAAGTAGAAAACCGAAAACAATTATGGGCAGCCAGGTGTTAATTTCAAGTTCGTTGCCTAAGTCATTCGTTTTTGTCGGTGCTTCGTTTTGAATGTTGTAAGTGGAGCGCACGGGCTGCGCCCAGTGAATGCGAATGAGGGGCGTGCGAGCCGGCCGGCAAAAGGCCATAAAAAATCTTTAAAAAAAATGAAACACATTCACATATATTTCATTATTATTATTATTATTCTTACTTATATTATTATTACTATTATGTTGTTGTTGTTGTTGTTGGGCTTTGAACGTACGTTTAACGTTTTCGTTTGACTTCGTTTCGTTTCGTTTCGTTTCATTTCCGTTTTGACCCACGTCAAGTTCAAAGGTTGTGAACCACACAGCAACAACAACAACAACAATAACGAAACATAAATATATATACAACAGCAGCAGCAACGACAATAACAACAAGAACAACAACAACAAAGACGAAGCCAGTTGCATTTGACAACAAACACCTAGCTGGCAACATCTTCTTGGAAGCAAACGCTCTGTGAGAGCAACAACAATAGCAACAGCAACAGCAGCAGCAGCAGCAGCAACAATGACAGCGACGCCGACGTCGACGTCGGCTGCGGCGAGAAAGCAACCTGCAAATAGCGCGTTGCTCCGCGAAGCTTTTACGGTTAAGCGGCTTTTAGCGGTAAGTCCACATGAATAAAACAACAAATAAAACAAACACACACACATACACACACACAGCAATGCATTGCAGTGTTGACAAACATCGTTCGATTCGCTAAAAAAAAATATAACTGCCATTGATCAGCGGCAAACGGGGTTGCCACACCATTTCATATTTTTTGGGGCGTTGCCAATGCGAACTGCTCCCAAAAATAAAACTTCAATTATTGTCAAGGCATTAAACATTTTTCTATATATAAGTACAAAGTTTTTGGCGTGGGCTGTTCGGCATTTACTTAAGCCTCGACTTTGACTTTGATCGTGGGCCGTTGGCCAAGTTTTTACAGCTGTTATAGCCGCTTCAGCTTGAGTGTGTGAAAGAGCTGTGAAGTCGGCCATTGGGTCAAACGTTGTCTGATAGATGGCCAAGGCGTCGATGCTGATGATCATCATCAGCAACATCATCATCATCATCACTACAACTCTTTCAGTTAGCTTAACTGTTTGCCTAGCAGGGCGTCCGTCACTTCAGCTCTCTGAATAATGTACGCAAATTAATCTAATAAAAAAAAAAAAAAACGGTGGGAGTTACACTTTTTATTTTGTTCGAATTTAGGCTTGGGAATACACACAAAGGGCCCTTTATGCCTTAGGTGTGCCTGTCGTTGGCACGCTAGCCAACTTAACTTTTGAATTATTGAAGCCATAAATGTTCTCCGGGAAATGGCTGAGAACTGGAAATGTGCATTTCATAAATGTGGGGTAAAAGCGTATTCCAATTAATAACGAGAGAAAACCTGAAGACCAAATTGATTTCAATGTGAACGAAAAGTTTTTGGGTAATAAGCATATAATGTTTATTAGGGTAAAGCTAGGAGAAAGAATTATTTAAAAAATAAATAATAATAATAATAATAGAATACAAATAAAAGTACTCAAAATATCTTATGGGAAATTCAATAAATATAAATTTAAAATAAATTTAAAAAAAACCTGAAGAAAATAATAATAATAACAGAAGAATAATAATAAAATACAAATAAAAGTACTCAAAATATCTTATGGGAAATTCAATAAAAATAAATTTGAAATAAATTAAATAAAAATCTGAAAAAATAATAATAATGATAGAATAATAATAATAATAAAATACAAATCAAAGTACTTAAAATATCTTATGGGAAATTTAATAAAAATAAATTTAAAATAAATTAAATAAAAATCTGAAGAATACTACTGAATTAATTACAAGATTTATTGTGTGATATGAGACATTAGTATCTGTATGATATTTATTATATAATATATATATGTAAGATATTATTATTTTTGGGTTTTGCTAATAAGACCGAGTACCATAAAAACTCAGAATAATATTTTGTATTAATATTTATAAATATATTATGACTTCAGTAATTTAATTTTACTTGGCTAACTCATAGAGCTCTTGACTTAACTCCCTTCAGCCTTGAATTACCCTATTTATGCAACTCTTTCAGAATTTTGCACACACACATACACATATGTATATACATTAATATATATATACATACATATATACCCCAACATCTTCCTTTTTTGCTCCTCTATCCAAATCATAGCGCAATTATTTATATTCACATTTTGGTTTGTTTGTTTAACCGTTGCTCGGTCTTAGCCCTGGTCAGCAGCCGTTTCACCTGCATTTCAGCTGTGGGCAGCTGTGCCCGGCCAAAGGTCAGCAGACAGTCTGGCGCCCAACGATCATTAAACAAAACACAAACTGCAACAGCAACAACTACAACAACAACAACAACAACAGCTACAACAAATGTACGAAAGTAATTTGTAAAACACGAAAAATGATTTTTTTTCTCGCTGTTGTTGTTGTTGTTGTCTTTGCAATTTTGTGGTCCTGCTGCTGTTCTTTTACGATGCAGACAGTAAATTACGAGTGCCGGCAACCGGGGCGTCCGTTCAACTTCTTCATTAGCGCTCAAATGGCAAAAGTTGCCGTAAACAAAGTATAAATCAAGCTAGCGAGCAAAAGCCCCGCTAAATGAATAATGTGCGTGTGTGGAGGCTGTATTATGATGGCCTGGCCACCACGGGCAAATCCTGTCAGCCACTTGCTAATAGCATCCTACACACGCTACAATAACATATGCCATACACATACATACATATATGTATGTATATATATTTCGGTTATATTTAAACTGCTATTTCTTGCACTTGAAAGTTTGCTGCTAGGCAAACAAAAGCGTCTGGCAATGAAAGTAACTTGAATGCTTAATGGGTCAACCTGAGATGCGGTGAGTGAGAGAGAGAGAGAGAGAGAGAGAGAGAGAGAGAGAGGGGTACACTGGTATAGGTAGTCTTTCATATGCTGGCCACTCTAATGGGCCAACAACAATAATCACATTCTCTGCTCGTGCTTAAAAGCCACTCGAAAGCATAATTAAACAATTTTTTTTGTTGTTTTTGTTTTTTTATTGACTCTTTTCTTTTATATTGATGCTGCCGCTGAGAATTCAGCATTGAGAATGGAACTGAGATTCTGTCTTTGTCTTTGTCTTTGCCTTCGACTCTGTCCCCGTCGATGCTTCTTTAAACTGCTGCCGGTTTCCATTCTTTTGCAGCTCCAATAGCAATTGCTGCTACCATAGAGTGTTTTGTTATGAGTCCACGTTTAGTTTTGCGGCTTGTGTCAGCCAACAGCAACGGCAACAACAAAAATTCAATTGGAATTGAGTAGAAATTGTGGTTGTTAAAAGATTGTTGGTGGGGAAAAAAAAGTGCATAAGGCCAAATTCTAACTGTAATCTATATATTCATTTGGCTTAGCAATAGAGGAAGTCAAAATCAATTCAGTTAAGTGTGGCAATCAAATAATAGAATTTTATAGAGGCTTATCACATATCTTTAATGCTTTGAACTTTTGTGAGACTGAAGAAATCATCAGCTGAAATTGCTGTAGTGATCTTTTACTGTGTAGAGATCATAGATGTACATATGTATATATTATATCATACCATATCATAGATAGTGCATTATATGATTTTGTATTAATCAACATTTAATGAAATATTCAACAAAATATTTTTTAAATTTCACAAAAGAAAATAATAATAATATAAAGTAAATTAGTTAGGCAATGACAGAATAATATTATTTTAGAATCCAGTAGACCTAAACAAAAATCGAAAATAATACACCTACAGACTCTACTTCAAATCCTCTTCAACAAAAATATTCACAACAAACTCGTAAAAATAACTTTTGAAACAAATTATGTGCATCAATTAACTATTCAGCATCCATATCTAAGCAGCTAGCATCAGTTCCATACAGGTTCAACTTCTTTTGCTTTTTACAACAACAGCAACAACAACAACTAACTGTTAAACTTGTTGTTAAATTTGTTAGCGAAGAGCTTGGCTTGCGTGTGCGGCGCTGCCAATTGGAATTCTTATTAGAATATGCTTATACGAGCTGGAGGAGGAGGTGGAGGAGGAGGAGGCATATCTATTACAATTTAATGCTGTCATTGAATTTTATGCCTCAGCAAATTTGAGTTGGGAATCAAAATGAAAATCTAATTACACAAATCAGATGGCGCAGTACCGTTTCGTTTTCTATTATCCAATCAGACTATGCAAATAGATATTGTTACCCAACCGGAGACTGGAAGCGAAGGAGGGTGGGCGGCTGGTTGGGCGGGCTAGTTGGCATAATTAATGGCGTGTGGCGCTTAACACCGGCCCGAGTGCATTGTACTCTGTGCTCCGCATTCTACATAGCTGTCAGATACACACGTTCTAACTGCAAACGGCCCAAAAGATACAAAAGCCAAGAACTGTAACTGGAGTGTGCTATAATACCCTTTGTGGCGGTTGTTGTTGTCGTTGTTGTTGCTGTTGTGTTTAATTATAGAGAGCCCAAATGGGTTTGGCTTTTCTTTAAGATCTCAGCTCTGTGCAGCGCTGGGCGTTTTATATCTGTGTGTGTGTGTATGTGTGTGTGTTGTGTTCAAGCAACTGTTAATTTTGTTTTACAACTTGTGCTTGTATCTCTGACGCATCTATAACGTGTTCGTCTACTTATCTGGCTAACTGTCAGTTACAAACATAACAAACACATGCGTAATATACACCAACACACACACATACACACACACACATACACAGCTCTTCATTCATAAATATAGTAGCTGCAATAACATTATATCTTTTCGTTGGTTTCTTGTGCGATTTTCGACTACACAAATTAATTATACTCTGAGCAGCCTCAGCTTTTGGCTAACGGCGATTTCGTGTGCGCAAACAATTAGCCTGGCTGGTCAGTGTTGGCTAACGTCTAACGTCTAACGCCTAACGCTTCATGCTGTGCAAATTTTACGCTCGGCTAACTCTTAAATTGTTGATTAACCATAATTCTTATATCATCTGCATTTTACAACATAATTATATAAGATCTATGGCCATAATCTTGTAGCATCGTGATGTGGCAGGTTTTAGCATGGGCATGCTCATATAATTTGTGGCAGATTAGATTGGATTAATGCGGTATGAACTTGTTTGACTTGGATGAAATATTTGAGAACGGAAACTGTTAACTCATCTATGTGGCATACGAGAAAGTTTGGTGGACTGGATTGTGTTTTGTTTAGTGGATTATGTGGTCCAGTAACACTAGACTTACAGTGTTTATGGTCTCGAAACTTATATCTAAATTCAATAGCATAGATATGGATGACTAAATGTATCTGGGAGATCATCTTAATCCTAATTATCTTTTTGCTTTCACAGCCTCAGTCTTAGAGAAATGCTTCATTATGAAGCTCATTAGGAATTTGACCCATTCAGTTTTGATACTGACCTAGCTTGATTTCTATGCACACAATTAGGTTAATCAGGTATGCAAAACAAAGCAAAATTAGAACTTGAATATTGAAGATCGAATCGATCTAAATTCGATTGAAGATCCTGTATTTAGTAAGTTATATTTTCTGGGTTGATCATTTGGCCTATATGCATAGATAGTAAGATATCAGATACCTAATTTGGACATTTGTTTATATGAAGCAAGTAAAGAAGAAATGTATTTGAATGTAGAATAATAGCTACAAGAAAAAACGTATCTATCTTGTTATCTAGCATACATAACTTTTATTATTATTTAGTACTGTCTAAAAATTACAAAAATTATTCATAAAAATGTTTTTTTTTTTTTTTAATTTTTTTGCCTTAATTAATAATTATTCTTTTTTGTTTTCTTTCAGACCTTTGTCATATGCACACTGCTCAACACGAGTCAGGCTTTGGAGCTGGGCGACAAGTGCCAGCATGACATGGACTGCACAGATTTCATCAAGGGCAGCAGCTGCTCAGCGCTGGGCTACTGCGAGTGCGCGCCCTACTTTGTCCAACTGGACTCCAAGCGCTGTCTGTCATGTAAGTCAATCTTTGAGTAACCCCATACCATTGCCAATACCTTTACAACAAAAAAGTAGACATGTCTCCATTGAAGATATGTCTGTTCATTTGTTTGTTTGTTTATTTGCTTGTGTGCAAATAAAAGTGCTTCAGTTGTTTGCATAAATGCGCAGAAGCCGTTACTCATATGTCACATAACTTACATAGCTGTATCTCGTTTCTTCAACTGCAGCTCAACTGCTGGGCGGCGACTGCCAGGTGAGCGAACAGTGCTCAATGAAGGTGGCAAACAGCAGCTGCTTGGACGGTGCCTGCCGTTGCGTCGAGGGATTCTTGCAGTTCCGCAAGCACACATGTCTGGGACGTAAGTATCAGACAACTGTTGATCAATTGTGGCCCTAATTGCATGGAATTTCATAATTACAATACATATACGCACACATACATACATCAATAATAATAATAGTAATAGTCGTTCGTTCAACTTCATGCTGTTTTCTTTTCACATAAATTGCAATAAATGCTCAAAAAAAATAAACTAAAATTGAAAAGAATGGAACTTTGATTGCTTATCGTCTAGGAATTACACGCATGCGCAGCAAATATATATATACACACCTTTCTCTTTCATATCTGACATCTGTAGAGCATATATATTTTGTGTGTGTTTTTTTTTTCTTTTCTTTTCCAATCTGTTTAACCATCGCATTTCATTCATTTCCGCTTGATTGTTTGACGTTCGTTAACACTTCCATAACAATTTTTCTATTGCTATTGCCGCCACTTGACACAAGCAATTAACATGGCTATAACAATAACAAACAAAAAAGCAACAACAACAACAATTGCTACTCTCGAGCTAACAAGACAATCGTGTCACTAATTATACGCATAATTGGTTAATATTCCTAGAATCATGGAACGAGCCAAAAGCCGAGCCACAGCATACTTCAAGTTTTTGTCTTTCTCTTCGCTTTTTACCTTTCCAATTTTCCACTTTAGAATTTCATTTTGAATACGAAATGTGAGTGGCCATAAGAGGGGCTATCGAGTTCTTTGTAGACTTCTTCGGAAGTGGACATTGATTGGCCTATCGATTGATAACTTGTAATTTGAGGCACATATAACATCATATTAACATGAGGATTCAGTCAATTAGTCGGCAACGATTATAGCTGCAGACAAACAAGAAAAGGTTTATAGGTTTATTACAGATTATTAAATGTATGTTTTATTTAGATATTCAAAAAATAGATGTTGTTAAGTTTTGCCTAGGGCGAGTCTGTCGCTTGGTTGGTCTTGAATTCTTCTGATGAAGCCAAGGAACTCTTCTCTGCTTGAGTGAAGTAGAAGCGCTTGGTTTTTGAATTTCTGTATGATATTACAGTTAGGACAGCTGACAGTGCCTGAAATGGTATTCTCACAGGTCCACATGCATTTCATTAGGGTCTTTTGGACTCGTAGTTTGACACGCAGCCGCAAGGCAGATCTTCTTCCGATAAAGCCGCGAGATTTTTAGACTGTTTATTTAATTAATTGGGTGATGTTTCCAGGTATATGTATCAGCAGATTTAGTTTATATTCTAAGTAGAATGAGACTGAGATTAATGACAAAGTTTCTTAGCGCGAATCATATAGATATGGAATGATAAAAAAATATGTCGCATTAACGGTAAACTTCAAGGGCGCTGATGATAAATATTAAATATATATATAGCATATAATTAAAAAAAAATATTATAAATAAAAATTTAAGAACTCAAAAAATATATTTAAATAATTTATAAAAAGGTCTTTTTGATTTCTGAAAAATACAGTATGTTATAAATATATAATATATATACAACATTTTTATATTTTTATATTTTTATAAATCATTTAAATATATTTTTGAGTTCTTAAATATTTATTTATAATACTATTTTTTTTTTATTATATATATGTATATATACATTTTTTTTTCGAGCTTCTCAGAATAATTTATTTTTTTTCAGCAGCAATAAATTGAGTTAGCTTTAACTTAGGTTTGCGATTTGTTTTAGAGATTACAAATGTTTCTTTTTGTAGTTCATATCAGCAGGCAGATGAAATATGCAGACATATTCTAGTCCACGATAAATGAGCTACAGGTTAGGGCTCTAGTTGAAAGTTGTCTTGTTGCTACCTGATGAGAAAGTTTATTAAAAATTACATTTAAGTTTTGTACACGATTATCTTATAATGTGCATTAGCACGATATTTCTGTATGCTGGAATACAAAGTAGAGACTCCATTCAAAATGATGTTTAACAAAGTTCAAATCAACTCGACGCTGTTTATTTTCCAATCAGACTTACCTTGAAGAATTCGACTCAACAAAAGAGGTTTTCCAATTAGCTTTTCGAGTGTGCTTCACTCATTAGCCAAATGCAGTTCGATGGCTAAACGAAGCACACAATTGAGATCGAGGCATTAGTTAAATGCCAGTTCCATTAGATGTTTGCCCAGCATTCGAGTTGTTCCGATTCTGATCAATGGCTGAAGTCGCATTCCCGCCGTATGTTGGCACATTGGCGCCTAATGGCGTTAATCTGATTAGAATGTTTTGTCGATGCGAGTGCAGAAGGAGACGGAGACTGAGTACGAGCTGCTCAGCTGGGCAATTGCGGTACATTTGTTTGCCCAGCTACTTAGCGGGCACGACAAAGAACACGATTCGAACTGCGACGGCGACGGCGACGACAAACTGTAACAGTCAACAGAGGCAGCAGCAGCAGCAGCAGCAGCAGCAACTGTTGCCTAGAGTTCGTGTCTTTGCCATTCACCTGTTGCATTCTACTGCGACATAATTATACCGCATTTAAAATCAACTGAATGCAAAAGACGCCCACTGGGCGTGGCACAGCAGCTGGCAACGGTGCGCAGTCTGCAGGCTACAGACAACTGGCATTGCCTGGCTTTAATATTTAATTAAAATAATTTTAATGACATGTGGTCAGGTCGTCTGTTTGCAGGCAGCGCAGCTAAGCGCATTGCATGCCATTTATGAGATACTTTCACCAAAAAACTAAAGAAATGCAGAAATACGGAAAGAAAGCAAGGCGGGCAGAGCCAAGAGAGGAGCAGAACCTTTCACCAGCCGCAGGTCCTGTGACAGCCTCGCCGATTCGATTAATATCTCTCCCTCTCTCTCTCTCTCTCTCTCTTTGTGTTTGTATCTCTCTGCCTAATTGCCAGCGCTGCTTTTGTAATTAAATTGCACTGATTATGTGAAAAGAAAGCAAGCGACACGGTCAAAGAAAGTCCAATTAGCGTAGCAGCAGCAGCAGCAGCAAGAGCATCCAGAACTCTGTCTCAGAATTCGAACTGCAGCTGGAACTTTTGCTACTGCTGCTGCTGCTGCAGTTGACTCCCGTTTTGCACAATTGACAAACGTTCACTATACTCCCTCTCTCTGTCTCTGTCTCTGTCTCTCTCTGTCTCTCTCTGTTTCACTCCCTCTTGGGTCAAGTTGAGCAAGTGCTGTGCCAGATTTGGAGCTGTGCAGGCTTTCGCTGTTGTCGCCGTGCCACTTGTTCCAGTTTCCCATGCACCTTAACCCAAAGCCTCAAAAACTCAGGCCCAAGCCCATTTTCGGGAAAAACGTCGTGTAGACACTACCAGCACTCTTAAGAAGCCAGCCAAGCCAAGCCAAGCCAAGCCAAGCCAACCCAGCGAAGCCAGGCTGATCTTTATGAGTTATGCACACATATGACAATGTTTACCGCTTTGTCCAGAAGAAAAGTATGCCAGGCCAAGCAAATATAATGAACAGATACATATATACATATTGTATATTCACATATGTATATGCATTTGTCCAGACAAGAAGCAGAACGTGGCCAAGACAAAACTTTGCAAATGCAGTTCGAGAAACTTTTTAGATTGAGATCTCGCGTTGCTCTCAGCTCTCAGCTCAGCTCAGTTCTCGCTTTGTGCCGTTTGCCGATTTGCATACAAAGTTGCAAAGCAAAAGTGAAGCCAATGAATGGTTCTTCATTATGAATCACTAACTGCACTTGTTCTGTTTTATCTGATTGCATTTTAGCTGAAAATCAAATAGCCGATGCAAGAAGAAGAAGAAGAAGCAGTTGATGCCTAAGAAAGTTGCTAAATTTGCTTAGGCCAATCGAGGAACTGGGCAGAGAAGGGGTGAATGGAGGAGGGTTATTCAATTGTGATTTATTGACTGTATAATTTAGTATATCTACAACAATGTCAATGTCTGACTGGTAAACAAATAATGTCTGCATATATCAGAAATTCATTTTTGCATTCACTCAATTTGAGTTTCTCTAGCTGACTCAAGCTAAACAGCTTTATGAATCATGGCATATTTAATTGTTAACTAACGGCTAGGCTGATAGTCTTACGAATTTCTAGCCAAGCTAATTTTAATAGTCAATATGCAAGATGGAACCTTCACCTTTCCACATTCCATATCCCAGCAATGAAATTTGTGAGCTGCTGCTACTTTCTATGTGAGATAACTTGAAATTATTCTATGAATCACAGGGCTGGGAAAATTTATGCCAACTGGATGTGAGCTTGAATTTATATGCCAAAAAATATAATTGTAAAAGAAGATTTATATTTAGTAATCATGAATCAGAGAGCGTGAAAGCCCAATGAATGGCTAGAATTCATTTCTTACTTCAATCTTATTTTAGGGAATTCGAGAATAATTAATTTTCAACTAAGAAAACTTTTTATAATAATGAATAATATATTAATATATATTCTTAAATTAAAAAAAAAAATATTTACTGCATATAAAAAAAAAATAATACTTAAATTTATTATATCGACTCGTGTATGTTCCTCTAATAAAATCATCCTCAATCAAAGCAGAATTCAGACATTATTTATATATAGAAATTTTACCCATGGAAAAATCTTGGCCATTCTTTTGGGCCACTCATATAATGATTCATTTCCAAATTTTAGCCAAAAAAAAAAAATAAATACCTCTCACTTTTGCCCAGCGCAAATTAAAGTCTTTAACATCGATTTAAGAGCGCCAAATTGTTGTTGGTCGACGTAAAACACTTTCCATGCCACACAAAAGCCAAGACATTTCATTTCATTCCATTTCGTTTGACCGCTTTATAAAAAATTATAAAAAAAAAAACAAAAAAACTAAAAAAAAGTATAGATACAACTGTGTTAATTTGCGCTGTGGGGGAAATGTTTTGACCATTTGTCCAAATTGCGCCAGAAGCCAAATTGCATGCAAATTATGTGGAACAAATGGTTTGGAGACCAGTTCTGCTACTGCCACTTCCTCAAACAATAACAGAGGCAAATGCCATAATAAAATGGAAAATGGCAAAGAAACGGCAAGAGAATACAAGAAAGCAAAAAGAAAATTGCGAAAGACTTGAATTGCAAGATTGACAAACGACGCCCAAACGCTCGACATCAAATGAAACCGAATTCCAAAATGCAAATGGCTGCAATTAATTAGAAATACCAGGAGGGGGTTCCACTATATTTTGTTGTCGTTGTCGTTGTTATTGTTGTTTTTCCTGCTTCTTTTTTATGGCCATGATTCGCAATGAAAGTTGGCAGCACAAAATTAACATAAATTGAGTTATTAAAGCCACAGGAATGCGACACTAAATGTTGCAGCTCGATTTGGCTTGACATAGTTTTCATATGATTATTATTACTATTATTATTATTATTTGAAGTTATTCGCCAATGAAATTTCATGCTGATTTTGATGAGAGAACTGTAGCTGCTAGCTGCGGTGTGATGAGTAGCGGGAGCTGGTTGTAAATGCAGCATCAGCTGCGATTCGACTCACAGCATTTTCACACGCGCAAACCGTAATCGAAGTGGGTTACCAGATGCAGTCGTGCCGCATTCGCATGCAACCTGTCACACCGGTGCGCCCGGCCAGCCGCAAGAGAAAGAGAGAGAGAGCGAGAGAGAGAGAGAGAGGAGGCAGGTTAAATGGCCATGGCATTGCCCCAGCTTATCGATCATTGCTGCACAGAGGCGTCGTCATCAGAGCCAACCGGGGTGGGCTAGCCATTGTTGATACAACTACTAAAAGTGAAAGAGCATTCGGCTGGCTTGCTATGCCACTGCCTTCCATATTGGTGTCAGAGAGAAAGAGCATCTCCCTCTCTCTTTCTCTTGCTAGCTACTCGCATTTGGAATGGCTGGGCATAGAGTCAGTGTCAGGGAGTCAGCGAGTCAGCTGCCGGGCCAGCGTCAGTGTCAGCGGCGCATTCGTTAAGTATACGCCATGTATGCGCCTTTTAAGTGCAGAGGCCAACCGGTTCCGCCAAATGCCAGCCAATGCAATGCTCAAAATACCTTTGTGAAAAGCCGCCAACGTTTGACTCTTTGCCAGCCAAAAAAAAAAAACAGCTAACGATACGATACTTCGTCTGCGGCTCTGCGCTACTGCGGAAAATTCGTGGCGTCGCGACGCTTCGCTTCGCCTGACTTTTCCACTGGCCACAAGTAGCAGTCACAAGTACTTGGCCGTTATAAGTATTTGAGCACTTGTCACGTGTCCGTACCTTTAGAGGAGTCACGCTTTTTGATAGCTCTATTACAGGCACTTCAATCAGCTGCATACATACCACACACACACACACATACATACATATATGCATGTATGTATCTCTATCATAAGTATTTCTGAAAGTCACTCACACTCGAAATTCTCAAGCAGCCATCGGTTTCTTAGCTGCATTTCTTCTTCAAGTACTCGCTTAATTTAGCCAGAGCTTAAGTGAAATAACAGTTACCTGACAGTGATATCATCGAGACTCACTTCAGCTACAAAGCATTTTCAACTCTCTGCTTAGTGTTAGCTGTGACTGCATTGAAAATATATTATAGATGCAAAAAGTTTATTGGGTAAATTGAAAAAAATTAAAGATACATATAAAAATATAAAAATAAATATAAATATAAAAGAAAAATATAAAAATATAAAACAACACTTATTTATTTGTATATATACAATTTTTTTTGCAATTTTTTTATGAAAAAAATCAATTAATTTATAAATTATGTTTCCCTAAAGAAGCAGCAATATTTGTTTATATTTTTACAAATACTTTTATTTAAATTAATAATTTCCTTTTCCGTATTTTAATTTTTGACAGTAGAAAAAATATATCTTATTTTTTTAATTTTTTTTTTTCTTTACATTTCAACATTTATTTTAATATTAATTATTGAATATGGCATCCCTTTGGTTGGCTACATTTTGTTCTGCTTGAGTTTCATAGCAGTCAGCTTGCAAAAAGCCACCAGCTTTTGTCAGCTTCAAGTTGCTAATTTAAATATGCAAATCGGTTAGTTTTCGGCTATGCAGTCTATGACTATACTCTAATACTAATACTAAGCTATACTAATTTTCTAGCCTAAGTAATATTTTGACGACACCAAACTCATTCACTTTCCAACAGCCTCAATTGCCTAACCAGTCACTGTTTAGCGTGATCAATCACAGTTTAGCCACTCAGCTCCAATGAGTGCCGCTTGCCATGGCAATGAAAATTGGGGCGCCTCGCCGGCTCTGGCAGTCAGCTGAGTTGAGTGGAGCTGAGCTAGACACAGCCCTAAGGGCAAGCGAGTGCAGGTGCAGTTGCAGTTGCAGTTGCAGTTGCTGTTGCAGTTGCTGTTGCTATTGCTACTCTTACCAACTGCCAGTTGGCAGTTACCACGCCAAAAGTTAAAACGAAACAAGTGAAAACAAGTTGAGCGCCTGCAGCAGGCCCGGAAAGTGGGTCACCACAGCCACAGAGAGCAATGCATAAAAGAGGAATCGCTAAGCAGCTAACTGAGATTCAGATTCAGCTGACGCTGGCAGTCAGTCAGGCAGGCCAACTATGCGCAGTAGCCATATCGGGCGGGCGCTTAGGCGATGGAATGCTGACTGATGAGCTGGGTGCATGGGCAATGGGAGACCGTAATGAAGAATGCCAGCTAGATAAACGGGGGGGGGGGCCAGTTGGGGGATCTATGAGCGACGTCATCGGCAATGCGTTGCCTCTGTTGACTCTGGCTCCATTGACGGTTATTAGGCATGTCGAAGGCGGGCTAATGCCTTCCAGATTGTTGGCATAATACTCGTTGCGAACAGCCGATTGTTGTTGTTGCTGTTGTTGCAGTTGCTGTTGCTGTTGCTGTGTTCACATTGCTGTTCTGGTTGATGATGATGATGGGTTTTTAATATGCATTTGGTGGCTGTTGCAACAAATGTACGGTTAGTTTAATAACAGAACGTGCACTCCAGCCCCAAGTGGGGACCATGCGAATCTCTAATCTATAACTCTCTTCTTTAACTCCCCTTCTCCCTCACTCTCTCTCTCTCTCTTGTCGTTGCAGCCGCTCACCCTGGCGCCGTTTGCTATAGCCATGCCCATTGCCAAATGTTCGATGCGCGCACCCACTGCGATTTCCTCATACCCAATCTGTTTGGACGCTGCCAGTGCACGGCGCCGACGCGCATGGTGGGTGGACTTTGTGTGGCACCAGCGGTCGATGAGACGGCAGCAGAGGAGCAGCCCGTTGAGAAGGCTTCCACGACGACGACAACAACAACAACGACAACGACAACAACACCTGCGCCGACAACGAGAGCAACAACAACGACGACGACAACAAGAACAACAACTCCAGCGCCCACAACAGCGAGAACAACATCAGCGCCCATCCTGCTGGAGGATGAGCTGCCCGCCAGCGTGGAGGAGCAGGCATTGGAAGAGGATGATATGGATGCTATAAAGCTGCGACCCCAAGTCATCGACGTGGACAATGGCGAGAAATTCGATCCTGTGGATCACGCGCATGAGGAAACCGAATTGACTCAACAGCAGGAGCTGCAGGAGAGCCAAGCGAAGCCCGAGGAGCAGCAGAAGGAAACTGAGCTGGAGAGTGAGCATATTCCGGCAATACTGGAGCCAGAGCAGCCTGAAACAGTTGAGCAAGCGGTAGCCTCCGAGCAGGAGGAGCAGCGCCCCGTCGAGGAACAGCAGCCAACCACTGGAGCTCAGCAGCTATTGACGCCAGCCGATGTGACCACCGAGGCCATGGAAGTTATGGATCACGAGACTGAAGCAGTGCCCGCCTACGACTATCCGTACAAGATTGATGAGGAATACGCTGAGGAGCATGAGATCAAGCCCGAGGAAGAGCCAGAGACGGAGCCAGAGGCGGAGGTGGACGCAAAACCAGAGTCAGAGCCAGTGCCAGAGCCACAGCCACAGCCCGACTCAGAGCCACAGCCAGAGACCGTGCCAGAGGTGCAAATTGAGGAGGAGGCGGCACCAGCACCTGCAATGGTCAATGAGCCAATTGTTGAGGAGGACGAGCCGGAGGAGGCATCGGGCGCACAAGAAATTGCGCCAGCCGCAGCCGACGATACCATGAAATTTGATTATGAAACCGAAGAGCAACAGCAGCAACAACAACAACAGCAACAACAGACGGCTGAGCAAGCTCCTCAGCAACAGCAACATGATGAGCTGGAATCAGCGCTAGGTGCCGTGCCCATTGAGAAGGAGGAGGAGATCAACAGCGAGACTGATGTGGAGGCAGCCACAGAGAACAATCAGCAGCTGCAGCTGGAGGATAAGAAAGAGCTGACGTCAAGCAATGCTGATGATGATTTGATACCCGTGCATGGCGAAGAGGTGGCGGAAAACGAAAAAAGTGCAACAAATGCGCCGGCCAAGCAGCAGCCAGAGGCAGAGCCACAGAACGTTGAGCAGGAGGAGGTGGAGCAGTCGGGTGATCATGAGATGGAGACGGAGCAGGCGCCTCAGGCAGAGGCGGAGATAGAGGAGGAGGCACAGGCGGAGGCGGAGGTGGAGACACAGCCACAACAAGCTGACGTCACAGCCATCAATGATGAAGAAGAAGCTGTTGAAGAAGTGCAGCCAGCCAAGCAGCCAGAGGAAGAGGAAGAGGAACAACAACAGCAAGACGAACTGCAGATCGCAACAGAAGCAACCGAAATTGAGGAGCCAGCGAAACTGATGGACAGCGAAAGCCCAGCAGCGACAATTGCAAATGAGGTAGAGCCAGAGACAGAGACAGAGACAGAGACAGAGGCAGAGGAAGAGGCAGAGGCTGTGGCAGAGCCAGAGTTGGAAAAGGAAAATCAAGTGGAAGAGGAGCCAGAGAAACCCGTCCAAGCAGCTGAAGCCGCAGAAGTCGAAGTGGCAACAGAAACCGCGGCAGAGCCTGAGAATGCAGCTGAAATCGAGACAGAGCCAGAGGCAGTGGCAGAAGAAGAGGAAGAGACGGAAAATGAGAAGGAGACGGAGGCGGAGACGGAGACGGCGGCAGAGTCAGAGCCAGAGCTGAAGCTGGAGACGACAACCGATCAGGCAGAACAAAGCGCCGACGTTAAGCCGACAAGTGGCGAAGATGATTTAAATGAAGCCAATCAATTAAATCAAGAGCAAATCTCAGAGCAAAAACCAGACGAAGCTGAAGCTGACGCTGAGGCTGAGGCTGCAGCAGAAGCGACAACGGAGCAGCAGCTGAACGAGGAGCAGGCGGAGCAGAATGTGGAACATGAGATAGAGACAGAAAGCCAAACGGAGAAGCAGACAGAGCTGGAGATGGAGCCAGCTGCTGAGGTGGAGGCAATCAGCGAAGCGCAGCACGAAGAATCGACTTACCCAACAAATGATGATGAATTGGCGCCAGAGCAAGCCACAGAGCAGGTGGCCAATGCACAAGACGATGCAGAGGAGCACGACGAAGCTGAGGAGGCAGAGGAGACGGCAGCAACAACTAGTGAACCAGAAATCTTGCAGCAGCCAACAGAGGCAGCACCAGAGGAGACTGAGCTAAATGCAAATGCAATTAAGACGCCCGAAGTGTCGGAAACAATTGCAGAGCCAGCGCTTGAGCTAGAGTCAGAGCCAGAGCCAGAGCCAGAAGCGGAGCCAGAGTCGGAGACAGAGTCGGAGCCTGAGGCAGTGCAGTTAGACAACATTGCTAATGATGAGGTGTCGCATGTTGAGGATGAAGTTGAGGAGCTGCCGTTGCAGCAGGCAGATGATGTTGAAGGCGCGGCTGATGCGGCCACTGAAATACTAACAGAGGCAACGCACATTAAACACGATGAGCTGCAGGAAACCGAACTCAATCTCAAGACGGAAACCGTCACCGAGCGCAGTGAAAGTGGCGAGCTGGCTGAAGCGGAAATGGACAAAAATGAAAATGATAATATCATACAAGGAGCGGAGCCAAATGTGGAGCAGCAGCCAATCAAGGTCACAGAGGCAGAGACAGAGGCCGAAGCAGAGGCAGAGGCAGAGGCAGAGTCCACAACAGAGCAACAGATCAAATTGGATGAGGCGGAGCTGCAGCAGCCAGAAGCGAACTTTGACGACGCCAGCATGGAGCAAATAAAGGAAAATGTTGAGGATGCTCCAGCGGAGACTGTGACCGAAGCAGCAGCAGCGGAAATGGAAACGGAGCAGGCAACCGCCACACAGCTGCCCGAGCTGGTCGCCGAGGTGCCCATTGTGAGCGAGGAGCAGGCCTCCGATGACTTCAAGGAAAGCGAAAGCGTTGCGGGCATACTTAACGATCTGATGCTTGAGGGCGACAGCACCGTGCCTCCAGTGCCGCTCGGAGAGCAGCCGTCGCAAACTATGCCCATGCCGGCAGGCGAGAAGCCACAGCAGGTGCAACAGCAGCAGCAACAGCAGCAGCAGCTGGATGAGAATGAAATGCCAGGCATGCCCGATTTGCTGGCAGAGGCCGATGAGCTGCACGAGCAGCAGGAGCAACCCGAAGACACTGAAGCGGAAGCAGTGCCAGTCACTGAAGCAACCAGCAATGAGCTGGATGATAAGCTAATTACCTTCAATCCCGAGGTGCCAGTGGAGCAGCAGCAGCAGGAGCAGCAGGAACAGGAGCACGAGCAGGCAGCTGTTACAGCTGAGCTGCAGCCAGAGTCAACCACATTGGAAACAGAAGTCGACTCAGAGCCAGAGCGCACGCTGTCGCCCGATGAGCTGCCCTTCGACCTGAGCGATAGCTCCGGTCCGATCAGGCTGCAGGAGCTCGAGTCGGACAGTTTGATTGTGGAGTCCACGACGCTGGACACACAGCTCGACCAGAACAATCACATTGATGAGCTGCACGTGCCCGTCTCTCAAGCCAGCGAGGAGGCCACGCCCAATCCGGCTGACATCGTTGAGATCACCACGCAGACCATGCTCGGCTTGGCTAGTCGTGTTACCCTCATGGAGCCCGCCGCCCCAGTGGTGACCACCCTGAAGCCCCTGATGACCTCTGAGGAGGCCACACCCCTGCCAGCTGTCAGCAACCCGCCAGAGATTCCCATCGTGTCGCTGCTCAGTGGCAAACCCGGCACAGAGCTGCGCAAGCGCGTCGACCTGGCCCTGGAAGCCATCTCTCTGGGCCTGCCCTGCGCCAGCGATCGCCAATGCCAGATGGCCGATCCCCACACCGTCTGCAATGCACGTGGCGTGTGCGACTGCGCCGCATCAACCGGCACAGATCAGGGTCAGTGCAGCGCTGAGCGCACAGGCTGCAGTCCCGGCACCTTCCAGGTGAGCACATACAGAAAATTCCATATCAATGCTGCTGTCACTTACGACAGCATAAGCGGGAATACCCCTAATCATATAAATCGTATGAATTTTCCCATAATTAATCGAGCTTCCCTCTCTTCTAGTGCCGTTCGAGTGGCGTTTGCATCTCGTGGTTCTTCGTGTGCGACGGACGCGCCGACTGCAACGACGATTCCGACGAGGAGTGCACCCACAATGCCCGCCTCAATCAGACCTGTCCGGCGGAGGCGTTCCGCTGCGAGCGCAGCGGCCGTTGCATCTCGCGTGCGGCGCTCTGCGACGGACGCAAACAGTGTCCGCATGGCGAGGATGAGCTGGGCTGCGATGGCCATCTGAAGGGCGGCAACAGCTGTCCGGCGCACACGTTCCGCTGCAAGAGCGGCGAGTGCCTGCCCGAGTACGAGTACTGCAATGCCATTGTCTCCTGCAAGGATGGCAGCGATGAGCCGCCCCATCTCTGCGGCTCTCGTGCCATGCCCAATCTCTTCATGCGCCTGATCGAAGCGGGCGGCCTGCTGGCCAGTCGCCGGGAGCCGGATGCCTATTGCCCGCACCGCTGCAGCAATGGACTCTGCCGCTCCACGGCCATCGTGTGCTCCGGACGCGATGGCTGCGGCGATGGCACCGATGAGCAAACCTGCGCCGTCTGCCGTACGTTCGAGCTCTTGAATCTAATCTCAAGATCTGTAATTAATGTATGTTTCCCATTTGCATTTCAGGCTGTCCCGCTCCAACTGCTGCCAGCCTGCCGACCTACTTGGCCAGACATCGCCCCATGCCGCTGTGGTAAACGGGGGGGGAGTGGAGCGGAAGCAACAACGATCTACACTTCGATCATCTACTATCGTGCACTTCACCCACGCTGTCAATTTGCCAATTTATGTGAATCAATTTTTGGATATATTCGGATTTTTTGATTTTGCATTTAAGTCGATTTAACGCTATTTATTTATTTATTTATTATTTGTTTGCGACTGCGCCTGCCACGCCCAATTGCCACCTTGCTAGCAAGGGATGGCCGACATCCTTTGACCCAGCGATGCTGACAATTGTGCGCCCTATGCGCAATCTAAAGACCCCCAAACACCACACATACACACCTCACACACTATCCACACTTCATCCAGAACTTCATCTTTTCCCATTATCAACTTTATTTATTCTACTCATGTGCCCATTCAACTATTTATTTATTCTCACTCTTCACCTAAATACCTAAAAAAAAAAACAAAAAACAACAAAAAATGCGAAAAAAAAAACTTCATTCGCTTAGCTTAGTTTTATAAAATTATCTAATTTATTTAAATTATGGCCAGGCAAAAACCACAATCAACAACAACAACAACAACAACGAGAACAAATGATGCATTTTTATTATAAATTAATTTGTTTGTAAATAAGTTAACAAATTGCTTGATGTACATGATAAATGACTATAATATCGAAAAGCTTCTCTATTCACTAGAACTCTATGGACTCTATCCATGCATGTCGAGTGGGCGTCGTAATACGCGACGGCCCGCAGTTCCATCAAGTCAAAACGCATCACAAGACATCTAAAACCAATTAAGACAATACAAAATGCATGAATTTAATGATAATACAAATAAAAGAAAACTTATTTTTAAAATAAAAAATATCAAAAAATTATAAAATTCCCTATTTCGTTTTATTTGCATCGATTCAAATTTCGGTTTCAGTTTCTTTCACGCCTTACTACTTCATTTGTATTGTTTCTTCATTATAGTAGTATTCTACTACTATTTCGGTTCTACCTCCTACTTTTACGCCACATTCTACTATTTTCTCTATACATTCTTTCACTTATAGGATTACCATTTTCTTACTGCTAAAAGTTTTCTACTTCTGTTCTTACAATTGTTATTATAACTCTTAAACTTCTGCTCCTATATTTACTACTATTTCCTATTTTTACTACTATATTGGCTCCTATCTGTACTGTCATTTCTAGTCTTTACTAACATTACTTCTATTCACAAACACTTTTACTACTATTTTCACAGCTATCTCCACTTCTATTCACACTTTTACTATTCCTGCTCCACTTAGTATATAAACGAGTTCCATTTATGTTTAACTTCAAATTTGACTTGTTTGACAAAGTTTTAAATCAAAACCAAGTACCACAGTTTTTTGTTTTCATATAGTCTTGGGGCTTACCGAGTGTATATTAAAAGTTCTGCGGCGTAAGGCAAATGGAGAGTCAACCGCTAATTGAGTTCAGCGAGGGATCGATGAAACCATCGTCACAACAATCGATTTCATACAAGTCTATATTTATCTGGTTCTGTCGTAGAACATTGTGGCAGCGGAAAAACGTTTACATTTTAGTCACTTTATTGATTCCGATATTATATCTCGTATGCTACTACCTGGTTGGACTTCATGAGCCAATCTATGAAGCAATTGAATCGACAGTTAGACAGCAACCACCAGGTTTGTTACAGTACTCCATGGATCGTCAACCGATAATTCATTTTGTTTCATACCTATAAGTAGGCTACCTCGTATACTCCGATTACTGCAAGATTATGGATCGAGATCCATACAACTACAAGATAATGATGCATTTCAACGACACAGTTCTCCAGCCCTGCAAGCCATATCCCCCACTCACCCAGGTGCATTACGAGAGCAGCATTCAACGCTACCTTCTGAGCGTCGATCCTATTGCGTTTCCCCAATACAACGTGCAGCACTCATTCGGCTGCTGCTACAAGAGCGTGGAGCGCATCAGTGACGATTACGTGGAGTTTACGGAATGTAAGCCATTCACTAGCAGAACTGAACTATCTAATACGACGGATAGCATCATTGTCAGCTGTCAGACGGATTATGAGCGAATCTACATCAACGGACATCCCACCATACCTGAGCGATACGACGTGCGGCAGCGACTCGAGCACTGGGCGCAAAAGGATCGAGGCAAGCGTGTGCCCAGCATTCTGATGATTGGCATCGATAGCACCTCGAGACTGAATCTCATGCGCGCCATGCCCAAGACAGCGCAGTATCTCTACGACAACGACTGGTTCGAGCTGGCGGGCTACAACAAGGTAAGCTCGATTGATAGCCCAGATGTAATCATAGCTAAAGTCTGACTCCGACACAGATCGAGGACAATACTTTCCCCAACCTTATGGCACTCTTGGTGGGCTACAATATGGAAACTGTCATGAAGCGCTGTAATCCCTATGAGATAAACGGCCTGGACAAATGTGACTTCATCTGGAAGCTGTTCCACAAACACGGCTATGTGACGGCCTACGGCGAAGATGCGGTCAAGATCAATACCTTCAACTACATGAAAAAGGGCTTCCAGCAGCCGCCCGTGGACTATTACCTGCGTCCGTACTTGTTTGTGGCTGAGCAGCAGTTTGGTATATATGTAAATGATATTCTGCCCCAGTGCTTGGGCTTTGAGACGGAGGCAATAACTGTTTATAAGTACGCCAAGGAGTTTGCAAATCGTTTCGTTAACAACAGCTTCTTCGGCTTCTTCTGGACGAGCACACACAGCCATGACACCATTTCACAGACCACGTCCATGGATGAGTATCTGAAAGAATATTTGCAGGAGCTAGGGGCACAGGGCGTCCTGGATAATAGCATTGTTGTCTTCTTCAGTGATCATGGCTTACGTTTTGGACCGACCCGAGATAGTTGGTCCGGGTATTTCGAGGAGCGATTGCCATTCCTGTTCATCTGGCTGCCGGAATTTATGAGACAGGCGTACCCAGAATTTGTGGACGCGCTGCGTGTGAATCGCAATCGCCTGACCACGCCCTACGACCTGCACTTGACACTGAAGCACATACTTTCGCTGACTGGTCGAGTTGGCAGCCAGGAAGATCTGGGTGGAGCCAAGGACTGCCCGCAGTGCCAGAGCCTGTTTCAGCCCGTTCCGCTGAATCGCAGCTGCGCAGATGTTGCCATTGAGGATCACTGGTGCACCTGCAGAAAGTTCAAGCGAACGTCGGACAAAATTGTGACCAGGTTAGCCCAGCACACAGTCAAACACATTAATAACCTCTTGGTCAACGGCAGTTATACAAATCGATGTGAGCCTCTCCAGCTGAAGCAGCTTGAAAGTGCCTACAGGGCAGATGCCAATGCATTTGATCCCAAACACGTACGAATCTATATGCTCATCCTAACAACATTACCGAACAATGCAAAGTACGAGGCTACATTGCGTTATGACAAGCTTCAGCCGAAGTACAAACAAATACTTGTGACTGGCTCTGTGAGTCGAATCAATTCATATAAGGGCTACATAGGTTGCCTGGGCAGAGATCCAATGATCAAATATTGCTATTGTCGCGGTCAATCCAGCACAATAAGCGAGAGCGAAACGAATTTTTTATAGTACAATAACACGAATTTTAATAAAATATCAATCAAATAATAGAATTGTTAATCAATAAACATATATTATATATATTTTCATTTTTAAGGTGCGCCCAATAGTATGCTATAAATTTGTCCAGGCATTCATTGACAGCTCAGCGGCAAACGCAAGCGTTGTTTTTGTTTTCGCTACTTTCTTGTTCTAATTTTCGGCAAGCACGTGCCAGAAATATCACACATACACATACACACGCACAAACACACATACACACACGTACACACATACGCCTGCACAGCTCAGGCCGCGCACAGTGAGAGGCGCGTCGCTTATAAATACTTGAAGGGCATGCAACAGGTAGTGTGCGCTGATTGGTTGAGGAGAGGAACGAAGAGAGAGAGAGAGAGAGCGGCACTCAGCGTCAGCGCTGACTGCGCAGTCGCCGCAAACGAAGGCGACAAGCAAATAAACATTGCATGCTTTTAGGCGACGCGCACAAATTGCAGCCTCACTTGTTTTCTCTCTCTCTCTCTCTCTCGCTGGCTGTATGTGAATGTGTGAAAGCTCTCACATTCTCACGAACGCCTCAGCCTCGCTGGCGCCAGCTTGCAAAAATATTTTGAATTTTGTTATTAACTGTTTGCAGGCCGCTGCAGCAGGACATGCGAGCGTCGCGTACGTTTGCGCGCGTCTCTTTGCTTGTGTGTGTGTGTAAGTGTGTGTGCATGTGCAGTGTAATTTAAAATAAGAGACTTGCATATTATATTACAACATATTGTTGCAATCAATAAAGAGCTGCAGAAAAGCAAATGCAAACACGTGAGTGCAAAAGTTAAACAAAAATTTAACAAAACAAAACCAAAAATAACCAAATTGAAAAGAAACGAAAATTGTTGCGAAAAAGTTCTCTACACTTGTGTGCGTCCGAGTGGGTGGTGTATATCTGTGTGTGTGTGTGCGTATTCGAGTACGCGCAGCTTGTTAGTATCTATTGTGTCACAGCAATGTTTTGTAGTTTTTACGCTGACGCTGCAGCTGAATACATTTCAATAGCAGTGCGAGTGTGTGTGTGTATGTGTGTGTTTTACTACGTCACTATGTCCTCGACATACCTACACATACATATAGAGGCACATAGTACGTGCTCCATTTAACAAGCTGCATTCATGACTCATTTGCCGCCTGTTTCTTGGTAGTTGAACAACAACAAAAAAAATTAGAATGCAATACGCAATAAACAATTGACCTTATTTATTTATACAGTCTGTCTATTGAGTTTATTTTATGGGTAATTATATTATTTTAAGCAAATATCTGTGCGGCTGTTTACAGTTATATTTTACTTTAATTAGTTTCGAACAACAAAACTGCATTAGAAAAGCTGGCGCTCAATAATCGGCATGCAAGTGAGGGGAAAATAAAACTATTTTTTGTACTAATATACATTAGACAATAGTAATTAAAATAGGCTACCAGTCAAGTAGAATCCGAAAAAATGTCCAGTGGATTTTTCTACCTCAAACTTTGGTTCCACCTCCTCATTTATTTATGACTTGCTATGGAATACCAACACATTGTAAAGAACAACATCTATGTAAAGAATTAACTTATTGAGGCGTCTCCAAATACATAAATATTCAAGTCACCAGATCTAAGGCAGACTTATGTCAAAATATGTATATCTCTATCTACGCCTCAGACTCTGCCTGTGTATTAATTTAATATACAATTTACATTCAGGAATATTTAGAATCTCTGCATTAAATTCTTTTCAAGATCTGCTATAAATCTTCTTGTCGATCTCGCCCTAGATCTACCACAATTATCAGAGACTCAAAAATCTACTTCTACGCTGGCTAGAACTATCACAAATGCTAAATGTTCAGCTTGGGTTTTTATTTTGATCAGCGATTCTGCTTTTAATGCATAGCCAAATAAACAATAAATAAATAAACAAATTCCCAAATTCATACTTTAGCCCAAACAAAATTCAATACAAAGAATATCAAAATTGATATCGGAATCGTATCGAATTACCCAACTTACCAAACTCTTGCTGTCTAGTGTAATACAACACTGCTGACTAGCTACAATTATTTGATGCTTTCGTGGGAATTATTTATGCAAAGATGTATTATATTCTTTGTATGTATGTGTATATATATGTATGTATGCATAACTCTGCTGGAAGTAATCATTATTTATATTTTTTGTTTATTTTTATCTTCAATTACATTTGAACATCTCTTTCGATGGGCAAGCAGCAGAAACTATTGTGTCATAGGAAATCGTGATGCTAAAACCAGCAATCGAGCATATTAGATAATCAATCATTGTTGCTACATGAAGCTATGAAGCGTGAGTGGGAGAGAGACAGAGCGAAAGAAAGAGAAATCCGCATTAGGAATACAAATGCTCAAGGTAGTTGAGCCACGTTGAGATTAATAACATTTTTGTTGATGAGCACTAGTCAAAAAAAAAAAAAATAAATAAATAAATAAATAAATAAAAAAATAAATTTAAAATAAATTTAAAAAACAACAACAATAATAAAAGAAAACGGCCAAAAAAATTCAAAAATAATATGCATAATTAAAAAAAATTAAAATCTATTTTTGGTATTCCATAAAAAAAAAAATAAATAAAAATAAACACTACAAATTTAGTAATTATCATATAAGCTGTTGATGGGTGATGCAAACAGGATTGAAGGAAATTCTTAATTATAAATCACAATAGGCAATAAAAACCTTAAATTTATACAAATAAAAAATAAAAACACCAAATAGTTAACAAATAATCCAACAATAAGAGTTTCCATCTTCAATCATAGGGTATACAAATCATCAAACCAAGCTCGCAATATTTTTGTGTGATAAACCCATGTTATCGAAATATGAATAAAACCTATGCATAGACATTCATGCATTCAGCTTGGGACGAGCGTGCAGCAGAAACTAAACAGAAATTCAATGGAAAGATAGTCACAGTGCCGAGGCAGTTCGTAAATTTCGTGCTGCTGGCTAGACAAGCACACACGAGCGGCTCGAATTCGCTTTCGTCGGGAATTGCAGCTAAACAGTCTCGCTTGTATCTGAATATTTATTCTGTTTATTTTGTATATTGTTTCGGATCGGTCGAAGTGGCACGGTACGCAGCGCCCAGAGACGCGCATTAAATTTCTGAATTCAATTTATGTCAATTTCAATTACAATTACAATTAGTTAAACAAAGTGCAGAGCGTGAGATGATGTTGATGATGACAATTTAGATAAAATATACATACATATGAAATATTTATGCATATATGTATATACATATGTATATCTATCTGTACTTGTGTCACTTCTCATTATGGTGAATAATCTAAATAAGCTATAACATGATCGAATTGGCTAATATTTATGCAATGCAAATTACAATTCGTTCTTGGCAGTGAATACGTGAGCGGACAGAGAGACAGTCTGACAGACAGACAGACAGACATTTAGTGCAGTGCAGTGCCCCATTCTAAACATAGACGACCCACAAAGCAGCTGCTGCATTTGCAAGCCAAAACATATGAATAAAACTATATAAAATATATACATATGTATGTATATATTTGCGTACATATGATATACAATATTGAGCTTCGACCAAAACAGAATGGCCCCAACTAACTGCTGAGTCAAGCATACCAATTTATTGATGATACTCTCTGCTATTATAAGCTATAAATGCAGTAAACACTGACGTGACGGTTGGAAATGTAAATATTAAATATTATGCAAATTTATTCATTTTGTAATTAATAAAATATCTTTTACTTCAACCTTTGCAATAATATGTTTATTTTTTAATTTTTTTTTTTTTTTTTATTAATTTTATTAAGTGTAGAACCGGTACAAACAAAAAAACAGGACCATAACAACACAGGGAGGTAAATTATTAAATGAGCCGAACCCCATACCGAGCTATGGGGATTTTAATATTATGTTTATTATTATTATTACTATATTTAGTTTGTAATATATATTTATTATAGTTAAATAAAGAGTGGAAAAAAAAACTTTTAATATTTTTCACATTTTTATTTTATTTTAAATTTTGTTCATTATTATTTATTATAAGATATACATAAGTAGAACTTAAAATAATAAAATCTTATTCCTATCTTCTTTGAAACTGGGTTAACATATTTTATTCTTTCAAATACATTACTAATGTGTGTATGTATATTAAAGAAAAAAAAAACAATTTACAAATAAAGAATCCACAAACTTATTTGCTTTTAACTTATATTTTGAAAACAGTTCTTGAATAAAAACAATAAGTTGCATCCGCCGCTATTTTGATGATAAGTTTGTTGCTTTTAATATTCATCTGTATATACACACATACATACACGCACACACATACATATGCATATCAAAGCATATAGCAAGATATAACCACAATTTACACACAAGTCTGTGTGCTCCATGAAATCATGACTAAGTGGGAATTCGAACAACTGTCTGGAATTCAAGACTAAAGTAGTTGTCAATAAGTGAATACTGAGAATTACAGAGCAGCTGTTAGTCCATCAATAAATGTCTATATGTATATTTCATGTCTTAATAATTTGATGATTTCCCATGCTTATCTATAAAGGTAATTTATGGCTAATTACCATTTTGCATAATTCATTATGGTTTTTATATTTCTCTCTGAATTTTTACTGTACCTTGAAATATTAAATCACTTTTTAATTTGCCGCAAAACAAGTATAAGTATACTTATATAAATATATGTATGTATGTATGTATATTTGTATATATTTATATCATAAAACACGCAATGATTTTAGCTTTTTCTTTGATTTCTTCTTCTTTATGAATATTTTGTTTAGCTCGTTCAATTAACTGTTTTATACTACGCTCACAGACTGCTGGGGGTATATGGGCTATTCATGACATTCTATGACATAATAGATAGTATTACATACTTTTTTCTAACATGCTGACATAATACTTAAATACATATACATTTATATTATATAACTGTAAACAGAATAGGTGACAGATAATAGCCCAGCTCACAAGCTTTATTATCTTTCATGTTTCTGGCTCAACTTTAACATTTATTCACAAAAACTGAATAAATTTATAGTAGATCTATATTTAGAGAGCCATTCAAAGAGTTAAGTGTCATCTCTATGCTTATAATAAATAGCATTATTACGGTTTAAGCAGAGTATCGTGCAGTCGATAACAGCCAACTGTAGAGCAACTATTATGTTTTGTTCTTCTCTTACATCGATTCGCAAACAAAGTAGAGGTACATAAATTGCTGATAGATGTGTGTAAGAGTCATATGTCACAGAGTTGATAATATCCAATTGAAGAGTTCTTTTACATGTGTTTTCGTCTCATTCATTGTGTTGCTGGAGTTGGAATAGATTTGTTTGTATATGTAGCAGCGATAGTTATGTCACTCTACTTCACCTTGTAAGTGGAGTGTAAAGCTCTTACATGTATACTTTCTTCTCTCACATCTATTTGCCAGCTGAGTAGACAAGGCAGGAGTAGCACGTAAAAGCAGGAGTAGCACGTATAACATGATTATATATTTTTCAATAAATCCAACGTAAAAGCATATACTACTCATTCTCTACTCTTTCATCTGCTGAAACACTCTTCAGCTGGACTTTATAAGATGTACATTAATATAACTTATTACGATTTACAGGGTAGCGTGCAGTCGTTACCAATTGCTCTACAATGTCTCTTTCATAGCTTTCATTGTTTTTCGGTTTCACAGACAAAAGTTAAACCAACATGAAGCAGCCTCAATTTGATTTCAATTAAGTATGGGAATGGCTGACAAGAGGCCGTTGCTGGACTACACGGATGATGTGGAGGGCAAGGATGGCTGCCAGGATGCCCAGGAGCCGGCCTTGATGGGCATTGGCTTCAAGCCTGGACAAGCGCCGACGCTTCTCTGGTATTTTCGACAGATTGTGCTGCGACGGAAGCTGGTGCTCGGCCTGTTCTTGATGTTTGTGTTCTCCTACTTTCTGATTGGACCGGCAGATGTACTGGATCTGGACAATATACAGGTGCATCATCAGTCGAATGTCCTGGACATGGAAGGTATTTGAGCAGCACCCACTAATATCTGTCTATATTTTGTATGTGTTTTCTGTTCTTTGTTTTTGTTTGTTCTGTTGTTTGTTTACGCTTTCTGTTGGCATTCGCTGTTTGTATTCCCTGCATGATTTGCTTCGCCTCATGTCCGTCCACCCACACAACCACACGAAATCAGCTATCAGTTTGAACGCAACCACAACGCGAGAGCTTAACCAATTCGTGGAGCTCACTACTAATCAGCCGATTGATCCGTCAACCCTCTTGCCAAAAGGCTATCTCGTCTATAGCAACCACTGCCGGATTGTGGATCTGGATCCGTACAAGCGCGAGGTGATGCGCCACTTCAAGCGGGTCGCCTACAAGTCCTGCAAGTCCCATCCTCCCCTCACCATCATCCACTACAATGCAACTACTCAGCGCTATGTCCTGAACATCGATGCCTCCGCCCTGGCCAACTCGAAGAAGCGCAGCAAACTGAGCTGCTGCTACATGGGCGTGGAGCGTGTCAGCGAAACGGATGTGAGCTACACGCCGTGCGTGAAATTCAAGAGTGGAGCACAGCTGGACAATGCGACCGACAGCATTATAGTCAAGTGCAAGGTGGAACGGGATCAAGTCTACATCAATGGACACCCGACCATACCGGAGAGATCCGCCGTGCGACAGAGACTCGATCACTGGGCGCAGAAGGACCAAGGCAAACGTGTGCCCAGCGTGTTGATGATTGGCATCGATAGCATCTCGAGGGTGAACCTCATACGCGCCATGCCCAAGACAGCGCAGTACCTCTACGACAACGACTGGTTCGAGCTGGCGGGCTACAACAAGGTGAGCTCATCAATCGACCTAGATCGAATTAAACCTGAATTCTTCCTCCGTCATAGATTGATGACAATACATTTCCCAATATTATGGCACTCATGCTGGGCTACAATCTATCGACTGCCATGAAGCGCTGTAATCCCTACACAATAAACGGCCTGGACAGATGTGACTTCATATGGAAGCTGTTCCAGAAACATGGCTATGTTACGGCCTACGGCGAGGATGCAATCAAGATCAATACCTTCAACTACCTGAAGAAGGGCTTCCAGCAGCCCCCCGTGGACTACTACATGCGGCCGTACTTGTATGCGGCGGAGAAGCTGCTGGGTGGCAACAGTGTGCTCGGCATGCCCCATTGCGTGGGCTATGCGACGGAGGCGGAGCACGTGTATAACTACGCCCAGGAGTTTGCCAGGCGCTACCACAACGACAGCTTCTTCGGCTTCTTCTGGACGAACACGCACAGCCACAGCGACATCTCGCAGACCAGCTCCATGGACGAGTACCTGAGAGGATATATGCAACGCCTGGTGGCACAGGGCACCATGGAGAATAGTGTCGTCGTCTTCTTCAGTGATCACGGTCTGCGTTTTGGACCAACGCGTTCCACCGGATCCGGGCATTTGGAAGAGCGATTGCCCTTCCTGTTCATTTGGTTGCCGGAATTTGTGAGAAAAGCACATCCGGAATTTGTGGATGCACTGAGAATAAACCGAAATCGTCTGACCACGCCCTACGACCTGCACTTGACACTGAAGCACATACTTTCGCTGACGGGTCGAGTTGGCAGCCAGGAAGATCTGGGTGGAGCCAAGGACTGTCCGCAGTGCCAGAGCCTCCTGCTGCCTGTGCCGCTGAGTCGAAGCTGCGAGGATGTTGCCATTGAAGACCACTGGTGCACCTGCTGGCCCTACGACAGTGTGTACCATAACTCCAAGGTTGTGCGACAGATGGCCGAGTATGTGGTGCGGTATCTTAATGATTATGTGGGCAGCTTCCGCAATGGCAGCCTGGCGCATCTTTGCCAGCCACTGACGCTGCAGAGCATGAGCGAAGCGTACAAGGCGTACCTGAAGGATATGTATCCAAAGAATATAGAAATCTACCGTCTCATCTTCTACACTAATCCGAACAAGGCGCTCTACGAGGCGACAGTGCGCTTCAACGATCTGCTGCCAGACAACGAGAGTTTCTCCGTGACGGGCTCGGTGAGCCGTCTCAACGAGTACAACGGCGAGGCGGACTGCATGGAAGACTTTGCCATCAAAAAGTACTGCTACTGCAAAAATACAAGATATTAAGCTGGCATTAATATATAGACTACGTGTAAATAACTCGAGACAAGGGTTGTCTGAATAGTTCCCAAACATAATCATGTTAATAGATAAATGTTTCAAGCTACCCTTGCTTCACCTTTTTTGCTAATTTTTCTACTAATTTGTGTATAAGCATTTAATATTTCAACTTACATTTCTAATACTTAAGTCTATTTCTATATAGTTACCAAATACACATACTTATAAATAGTTATTTTGAATACATATTTTCTATATTTGTATAATTATCTTATTAGTGAAAAAGTTAAACAAATAATTCTTAAAAGTAAAACCAAACAATTTCTTTTTATTCCTAATGGCAAAATAACAGAGAAATTAATATGTGTACAACAAATTTGTAAAGCAGTCAGAAATTAGTGTCGAGAATTGCAATTTTAAATTTATTGTGAGCATTGTCAGATAGAAAAATTCGTCAGTTAACTAAAATTTGAACTGTATGTATGTACGAAATATATATACATATATATATATAAATGTATATGTATATAAGCATATATATATTTATATGTATATCTATATGTATATATAGGACACTAGGTCTATTGACATTTGTTTCCCTCCTATGTACATTTTACAGATGTTCCTCTAAAGCTATATAATATTGGTATTATACTGCTAATTTGCCTATTAGCCGCAATTGCAATTCTCTTCAATTTTAGCTCACAGCTATCCAAATATATGCTATTATATCCTCACTAGTATTTTGATCGAGCTATTCCCATTTGAAATATCTCCGTGTCCTCGTCTATTTTGTATCTTGTTTTTGTCCCATTTGGTTTGGTATTTTCTATTTTTAACGATCCTAATTTCGATTTTTCATTTCATTTTTTTTTCTTTTGACTTCCTTAGGGCCTATTTGGCGCTCAGCGCTGATACTGCATGCTAATGACTTTCTCCTTAAAATTGTAGTTGCACAACATGTTCTTCAGGGACTTAAAGAACTTGGTCAATGGGCTGAGTCGTTGCAGGCCCAGAGCATCGTTTGGCATCGGCTGCAGTTCCAGCCGCAGCTCCTTGTAGTCGGCGCCAATGACCACCGAGAAGCGTCCATTCAAATTGACTGCGAAATTCGCATTCCCCGAACGGGTTTTGACGAACTCGATGGTCTGCTGCAGCTGCTGGGCAAAGAAGGATTGATTGGTGCAGCGCTGAAAGCTTCGCGCAGTCCAAGTATCCAGCGAGGTATTGATCAGCCAGGTATATTGTTGTGACAATGCTTGAGGGGCAGCGCTTGATTGAGTCTCTTCTTTCGGTTCGATCTGCTTCATAGTTAAGCCATAAATATTGACCAGAATATCCTTGATCGCATCCACATAGCACTCGGCCCAATAGAAATATATTGTTTGCTCTGTATTCGTCTTTTTGCTGAGCAAATCCGCGCGCAAACACTTCAGATCGTTATTTGTGGGCTTCAGTGTGTGGACATGCATCGACATGACCGGTCCACTCTCCACGGAACTTGTCGAGCACAGTCTTTCTTTGGGCTTATCATTTGATGTAGCTAGCGACTCCGTTGGCGATTCCGCTTGCGATTGCGCTGGTGATTCCGTTGGCATGGCAGCAGTTGCAGGAACTGTCACTGGCTTTGATTCTTTTACAGGCTTTGGTGCTGGAGTTGATGACTTCGGTGCTGCTTCGACAACAATCTGGGCTGCTGTCTCCACCTTGGGTTTATCTGCGGCCGGCTGCTGCTCCCTATTTGACACCTGTCTTCGCACCTTGGCAGGATGGCCATGGTCTATCCTCTGGCCCTGCAACAACTGCTCGGCCAGGCCAAATAACAAATAGTCATAAAGCTTAGCAGGCGCTGCGACCAGCTTCTTGTCGGAACACGCTTGGTGGGCCAAGGCCAAACATTCACGCAGGTAAAAGAGATTCGTACTGGAAATGGACTGACCCACATTGTGCTGCATCTCGAAAGGATCCTGCACGCAAACGCAGCGATGACTCTGAAACGGTTCCGGCTGCTCGCCCGTCGCCTTTGCCATCGCCTGCAGCTGCTGTTCATATTCGGGAAATGTGCCAGGCACCGAGAAAGCTGTGTTGATATCCAGTGCATAGCCCAAGTAGGGCGACAACAGCTTCCTCTCAAAGTCCATTTTATGGTATAGCGCAAAGAAATCGGTTATGAGATCCAAAGAGGTCACACTGGCTGGTATGGGGCGCACATTCCGGAAGCTGTATGCATAGTTGATGCCCATGACATCGACGACGGGACATCGGGCCTGCAGCTGCTTAATCGATGGCAATAGTCTCTGCTGCTGCATGCCAAAGATGATGAGGGTGATCAAACAGTAACTAGTCATGCTTCCGCTGCCGATGATCTTCAGCTTCTTGGCCCACAGCTTGAGAAATAGGAAAAGTTCGCGCATACGCATATCCCTGCCCAGCAGTTCGGCCACAAAGCGCGAATTGTACGTGCTGTTCGGACTGGACATATTGATGTCCAGGCTCAGTCCGCTGTAGACATGCTTGCAGCGTATGATGGGCACACGGGCATGCCGGATGGCGAACACATCTTCAAAGCACTCGCTGCGACGCAAGAAATTGTAGATCTTGTTGAACAATTGGCGATGCGATATGCCGTTCGAGCTAGTGTCCGTTTGTTCCAAAAACAAGTCAATGTCACTATCTAAAGAGCAAGAGCATGAGCATAATCGGGAAGACGCAAGTTAAGAGCGGACAGTACGAACCTTTTAAAGCCAGCCCCGTTACAAGTGAGCCAAAGGGATAAACTTTCACTCTACCCTGCAACTGCTTTTGTAGGGTGCTTCGTACTTGGGAGAAACATGCCGACAGTTCGCCGCAATTTCCCGCATAGAATGTCAATACGGCACGCAAATGCTGTCCGGCCGGCGCCTGGGCCAGAGTCGCCTTCAGCACGCGACGCTCGCATTGGATTTGTTCGCTGGCGAATAGCTTTGTGATTGCGTCCAGGCATTTCCGCAGCTTCTTCTGCGGCTTTATTGTGTGCTTAAGCAGCTCATGGGCCAGGCAATCCTGTAGGGTTTTGAAGGTAGCTTCGCACACCTTGCAGCGCACCGAATCGTCCTGGGACGGCCTTGTGCGAGTCTCCAAGTCGCTCATTTCTGTAAAAACCAAATTTTAAAAGCAACTGATTAAAACACAAACTTAGTACATTATTTTATTTACGGGGCACATTTGAAATAAAGCTCAAAGCCCAGCACATGCGACATCTACATATAACGTTAAACACTCAGAGACCAGATCGGGAATTAGAAAGACAAGGGCTTTCCGGTTCGTCTATCGACAACGCGCTGAAAATAATTGGGAGGAATGCAACCAGCAACGCCAGCACATAGTATCACATTGTTACTGGAACGATATAGTTCCAGCTGATCCGCTAGCACCTTGGCCACATCCAGGTAGATGAGCACTTGGCAATCGCTGCGAAAGCCGCTTACCTCAGCTTTACCTTCTCCGCTCAGTATGGCGAAGTGTATGTGATTGCGTGTCAGGCGCTTCAAGCCCTCCGTCTTGATGTGCTCCCAGTTTTTGTAGTAGGTGCCGTGGACCACAGGATCGGGCAGTTGAGAGATATCATTGATGCGCTCCATGCAGGCTTCTGCCTGCACAGCTCTTAGCGAATGGCCCTGATTGGCGCGTATCTCCTCTGCACCCGTTACGGGATTTAAACGCAACTGATAGCGCTGCTTTGCATCCGTTGCAACGATTTCCCGCAATTTTTCTTTGCTGTAGTGGGCGCCGTACCGCGGATGCTGTAAAATATCTGCAACGCAGACGTACCCATCTGGCTGCATTGTGAATCCTTCCTTTTCTGCGCCATGACGCAGCAGCCACGATAACTGTTTGCTCAATTGCACATTCGACTGTTTTTGTGTCATCATTGCCAATTGAATTAAGTTACTCACTTGTCTAAATTTTCAATTTTGTACGAGAAGAACGTGAATTCATATTGGGAAATCGGTTTGCAATTAATTACCAAACCGATGTCGATAATCTTATCGATAATCAATTGTCCAAAAGAATATTGTACTATCGCATAGACTGTGGCGTCACAGATGAACAGAAACATGGAGTAATAACATTATTTTGCTTTATTTTATTAATAATAATATATTTATTATTTTTATATTTCTTTTATTAATATTTTTTTATTTGTATTATTCCTTTACATACGTTTGCTTTCTTCTTCTTGTAAATACTTTCCACCTATCGGTCGTTACCATCGTTACCTTATACATTTTATCAACCATGCATTTAGAACTACTATCGTGCCGGCCTTATCAACAGTTGGAATTACATAGCTTTTAAAAATTTTTGTTATTTTATTTAATTATGCGGCTTTTGGTACTTTATGGAAGTCAAACTGGCACCGCCCAAGATGTGGCCGAGCAGATATGGCGTGAGTCCCGACAATGGGGATTTCAGGGACCGGTACTCAGTCTGGAGGATTACGATATTCAACAGCTGGTCGAGGAGCGACTCGTTATCTTTGTGGTCGCCACCACCGGTGACGGCATGGAGCCCGACAATATGAAACAAGCCTGGCGCTTCCTACTCAAACGCAGCCTGCCCAGCCATTCACTGAATGGTTTACAGTTTGCCTGCCTAGGTCTTGGTGATTCCAGTTATTCCAAATTCAATTATGCTGCGAAAAAACTGCACAAGCGTCTGCTGAATCTTGGCGCCAAGTCCATCTGTCCCTTGGGCTTATGTGACGATCAGCATGACTATGGCCATTTGGGCACATCGCTGGCGTGGACAGCGGAGCTATGGAACACACTAAGTAACACGTTAGCTGTGCATAAGCAGAAAGAACAGCTGCTAGTGAAGAGGTGGAACGTGCGTGTGCTTGAGCAGTCGGCTCCCCTGGATGAGGAGCGTCTGCAGTGGACACAGCGACAGGCGGCACACGTGTTTAAGCTAGCGGAAAATACACGCACCACAGCTGCAGATCATTTCCAGGATGTGCGCCTGCTGCGACTGGCGAGGAGCACAGAGACCACAAGCTGGCAGCCTGGCGACGTGCTCGAGGTGCAGCCACAAAACAGCTGTGAACTTGTCAAAGACTTCTTTGATCTGCTAAAGGAGCATCAGCTTCAATTCGATGCCAGCACCGTGGTGGAAGTGAGCAGTGCTCACGAGGATTTGCCTCTGCCTTTGGCCTACTCCAAGCCGCTTTCGTTGCAGCAGGCAGCGAAGTATATTTGGGATCTGAGTGCCAGGCCGCGTCAAAGACTGCTCGAGGTGCTCGCCCAGAACTGCGAAGACGAAATGGAGCGCGAGAAGCTCTTGGAGTTCTGCAGTGCCGAGGGTCTAGAAGATTTGATATCGTATGTAAACAGACCACGTCGCATGCTGCTGGAGCTGTTGCAGGACTTCCGGCATGCCATGGCCAAATTGACGCTCTCCCAGCTATTCGAGATGATGCCTCTGATACAAACGCGTAGTTTTTCCATTGCGTCCGACCAATCTGCCAAGACACTGGACTTGCTCGTTGCTGTCGTTAACTATAAAACTATAATGCACACTCCGCGCTTGGGTCTGTGCTCTAATTGGCTGAAGGACTTGGAGGTGGGCGTAGAGCTGCGAGCTGCCATCAAACCGGGCACAATGACCTGGCCGAAGGAGGCACAGACGCCCCTAATCATGATTGGACCAGGCACAGGAATTGCGCCCTTTCGCAGCATTATCCAAAATCGTTTGAATTTGCAGCAATTGGGACAGAATGTGGGCCCCCTCGTTGTCTTCTTTGGCTGTCGGAACCAGTCGAAGGATTACCACTTCGAGGAAGACTTTAAGTCATGGCAGGAAAATAACGGCGTGGAGGTACACGTAGCCTTCTCTCGTGATCAGGAAAACAAAGTCTACGTGCAGCATCTGATCAAGCAGCACGGCGCACATTTAGCTAAGCTCATTAGGGAACAGAATGCCTATATATATGTGGCTGGCAGTTCCAACAATATGCCCAAGGCGGTCAGAGAGGCATTCATTGAAGCACTGGACAACGATGTGATGTTCATGGAGCAACTGATAAAGCACAGACGCTACCAAGAGGAAACATGGGCCTAAGCCTAACAATTGACTAGGAGTGGTTCCAGCTTCTCGACACAATAGACAAATTCTAGTTTCTTAGTTTCTATTTGTTGGACGGATATGTTAAAAACATCACGTTTTAAGTTAAACATAGGCTAGCTTTCTAAATGTCTAAAATTAAACTGTTCCTAAGCAACGAACGAGCATTGTACTTTATGTTACTCAAAAGTCTTTCAGCAGCAGATCCGACGAGGTGCGACAGAACGGACAATGACCCTTTTGCAGGACCTGCAGCTCGAAGTCCTCCGCGTAGAACAACTGGAAAACATAAATTAGAAATGTGAAACTAACTCAGCTCAGGTATTCTCTCAGCCTCGCAGTCTTACCAGCAGACACTCGGAGCAGTAGGTGACCTGAAGATCGGGCAATATATTACGATAGTATATGTTGCGTATGTGCTTATCCTGGCGCTTGAGTATTAGCACATGATTGGGATCAATAGCGCGCAATGCATTGCGATCTAAGCTCAAGGGCAGCGCACTGGCCACATCTTCATTAAAGGGATCCGCATCCTCGGCATTCTTGGCAGGTGCCAAAAGCAAGCGCTCCGCCTCGGCGTCGCTGATGTCCACCTCCGGATAGAATTGTACTAAAGGCAAGATTTCTGCAAAGCAGCTAAGTTAGTATGAATATGATTGAATTTGATTTAGTTGAGCTACCAAACGAAACAAATGAAAATATGTAGTCCTGTCGGCAGGTGGGGCACGTATTGTTATTTAAGTGCTGGCTGTAATTGGAGCACTTATAGCACAACGGCAGCAGCTCCTCGGGATCATTGAAGCCGCTCTTGCAGGCCTTGCTATTCAGGAAATTGAGCTGGAAATAGATAGCAGAATTAACTGAATTCATTAGCTTCTATTATTTACAGAACTTACATCGATTTGCTCCTGAACGCCTGCGGGTGGCTTAAGCGACTGCAAACGCTTGTTGACCAGCAGACACAGCTTGTTGGCCTGCAGCAATTTGGCCTGCTTGGCCAGCGTGAACAAGACAGAACTGAAAGTGCATAGCAATTAGTTTTCTACATATTTATATATAAATATATATAGATAGACACATACAACATGCTGACGCCCTTGGGCGCGCCCTTGTTTTCCACCTCATTGCATATGAAACGGCTCACATTGAAGAGGCTGACAGGCGAGTGGGTGGTAAAGGGTTCCTTCATGTAGCTGAAGATGACGCTGTACGCATAGTAGACCTTAGCAATGCGCAAATGGTTTTTGTACTCGTTCAGATGATGATCAATGGCATTTTGCTCACTGCAAGAAGAGAAAAGAGTTGAGCATTACAGGGTATACAAAAAAAGTCAGCTATCGTATAAGGCATACGGTTTCTCGTGATAGATATCCAGATACTGTTTGGCCAGCAGCCAGTAGAAATAGCTGGCATCCAGGTAACGCTTCTCGACAATGGCCGTGTTGCTGAGCTGCTTCAGCAGACGATTCGCATCCTTGGTGCGTCCAGCCTTTAAATAGGCTGTGGAACAAAAGCAACCATGCTTACGTTATAAACAATATTATATATTGCGCTCAGACTCACCCTGATGCGCTTCAATAAACTGATCCGTTTCAGCCAGCCACTGCGCATGCTGATAGTGCACAGTGGGCAGCAGTTCTGGCAAAGCCTCTGCCAAACGAAACGCTTCTGCCCAATCCTGCACCTCGACATGCAGCTGCACCACCTGAGCCTCGTCACCCAGCTTCTTGAACATCTCAGCAGCGAGTGGCAAGGCCTTAAGCTTCTTCAGATTCTGAGCAACCGATAAGACAGCATCGCGTTCACTGAGGCTCAAGCGGCGGCCAATGTCGTACAGGCTGCAAGCAGAGAGACATATATATAATAATACCTCTACGATCGATCTTATTCAGCTTACACATCTGCCCAGCCCTGCTCGGCCACAATGTCTATTGCCTTTTGATGCTCGCCGGCGGAGAGCAGCAGCTCAGCCGCTGCTCGGGGTTCCTTCACAGAGTACGCCCACTCGGCACGCTTGCGCACGAGCTCACGCTTCTCGGCTTCGCTGCCGTCCTTCAGATACTCCTGTGCCAGATCGAACATGCGCAGATCAGTGTACATTTCGAGCGCTCGAGAGGTTTGATTGCATTTGAGGAACAAACGAGCGGCCTCTTTGAACTTGCCCGCAAAGGCGCAGCTCTCGCCGAGCAGCACTTCCTTGGGCACGGTGGCGCGCTGCTGTTGCTCACGCAGCTCGCCGATGAGCTGCAGCCAAGGCAGATTGCGCACCTTGACATAAGCATCGCGTGCAATATTGATGTGCAGAGCCTCTAGAGCAGATTGCGCCAGGCCCTCCCAGTCGCTGTTGGTAACGCCAAGGCAGGCCACCTGGTAGGCCTCGCTGTTGGTATGAGAAGTTATGGATTAGACTAGATTCTTATTAAGCATATTCAATACCTACTCAAACAAGCCCGCCTCGATGAACTGCCACATGGTGGCTCCCAGAGCCAGCGGCGTATTGTGCATTATGTTGCCGCGCAGACAAAATGCAGTTGCACCACACAAGCCCACCACCACGCCGTGCATATTCTGTGGTGCTCGCGGTGGCAAATTGCCCACTCGCACACTCAGCCCGCCCGTGGTGTGCGTGTAACAGAGCATTGTGTCCAGATGCGTATTCCAAGTGACGCTATTCACGCCCACATCCTGATACAGTATCGTATCGTTGAGCAAATCTCGCACCACCAGCCGTCCGGCATCATCGACAACCGCTATCTTGCTGCGATTGGCATTGATGTCCAAGCAACGCACCGCCGACACCGCCGTCGTAATCAGCAAAGGCAACGAATTGTTCAGGAATATGCGAAACACTTGACCGTTCTTGAGGCCCACCATGAGACCCTCACGACCCGGCGGACCACCTGTAACTTTGATATAACGTATAAACGAGTCCATGATCCACTCTCTTTGCAGTGCGCCCTCAAAGTCCAGGCACTGCAGACGCTTCTCCTGGCACAGCACAATATTCAGGCCACAGACCACGAGTAGGCTGCAGTCGAACTTCTGCTGAATCTTCTCCTTCACTTTGTAGTGCATCGGCTGGTTCTCCGTGGAGCTCAGCTCGTAGAGCACTACACGCTCCGGCAGCTGCACGGCCAGGCGATTTCGATAGATGGCGATTTTCTGGACGAGATCACGGCACTTGATGCGCACCTTCTGGCCCGACATCAGATGCTGAATGATCACGTCGCACATGTTCTCGCGGAAGGCGTAGCGCTCCCGATACAGAGCATGTACCGTGCTGGAGGCTATGTTGAAGCAGGCTAGCGTGCCATCCTGACAGCCAATGGTGTAGGACTGTCCACTGGGATGCAGTGCCACCGACCAGATCCACGAGTCGAAACCATCACCGAGGGTGCCCAGGCGAACGCCATCGCGTGTAAAGAAGTGCAGGCTGCCGGTGCAGCCGCCAACCACACAAAACTCGCCATTGGGAAAGTATTGCATGCAGAGCGGATCGAATCCTAGAGCGCGCTCCTTGCCAATCACCTGACCGCTCAGGGTGTGAAAGGACAGCGTTTGTCCCCAGTCGGCAACGGCAATGGTGTCCACGCTGCCCGCACTATTGACTGGGCAGCATTGTACGCTATAGACGCAGCTGCTCGAGCCACCTGGCCGATCGATGCGACTCTTTTCCTCGCCCAGTTTACTGCGTATGGAAACGCTGCCATTTGCCAGACCCAAGATCAAGTACTGTCCATCGTTTGTCCAGGCGCAGCCATTGACGCGTGAGCCTATTTTATACTTTTGCACAGCCTTCTGATCCGCCGACCAAAAAGCAAAGTCAGAGGTTGAGCAAGAGGCCAGGTGGTGCGAGACGGGATTGAAGCACATGCACTGAATGGAGTCACCGTGCCTGTTCAGACATGAGAGCTTAATTACAAGGCCTATTGATGTTCCATAAACTTACGAGTATTTCAGCAGTCCCTCCAGCTGCGGCGACCACACAATGACCATCTTATCTGCTGCACCGCTCGCAAAGCGTTTGCCATCGCGTGAATAAACCACCGAATTGACAATGTCTTTGTGCGCTTTCAATGTGTTCAGCAACGAGCCGTCGTTTGGATTGTAGATGAGCAAGCGCTCACCTGCTGCCACAACCAATTGGCTGCCATCGGGCGCATAGCAAACCGAATGCACGCTGGAAAAGTGCAAAAATGTAGAGGGCGAACAGGTGTACAATGTAGCTGGGCGTAGTTAGTCAGGTTTTACCTGGTATTCTCGTCTTTGGCATTCGGAAATTCGATGCGCTCTAACCATTTCAGCACGCCACGCATTTTCTTTAATTTATAGCAGCTGCATAATTTTCAGTTCTTACATTTTATTTATGTTTTGTTTGTTCCAAAACAATTGCTGCCATGGCAACCGAGCAGACAGGTAATCGATAACAACATAATCGATGATCACCACAGAGAGCACTTGATGACATCGCGAATTCACCTATCGATGACAAACAGCTGTTTTTTAGTACATACTGTGGGCGGTGTTGTTGTCATTATACAGTCCATATAAAAACAATGAATAATTTGGATAGTTCGCTTCAAGCGCACAATAAATTGGAAAAAGAAACAACCAATTTAGTGCTGCTGAAAGATCGCGTGGACAAGTATCATGATCTCTCCACGCAAATGTCCAGCATACTCACCATTTTCGAGAAGCGTTTGGGCAACTTGGAGCAAACCATTTTGCCCGTCTACCAGGAGACGGAGCAGTTGCAAAAGAGACAACAAAGTAAGTAAACGAGATTGGTGTATTGATAAATTAATTAAACGTATCTGCTTTAGATTTGGAGGCCACACTGAACTGCCTGGAGAACGTGCTCTCTCACTATGATGTTTCCCAGGAGGTTTGCCAGCTTATCCATCAGGGTCCCATTGAGGGCAACATTGGCACTTTTTTGGACGCCCTGGCCAAGCTGCGCGCCGCCATGGACTACTTTCTGCACAATAATTCACAAAGCGTAGAGCTCGAGAATGTCACCAGTTTATTTAACAACGGCTGCGAGGGCCTCAATCAACACTACAGTATGCTCCTCAAGAAACACAGCGCACCACTGAAGCCTGTCGAGCTGTTAGACCTTATATATATTGAGGATGATTCGTCGAGCGACGAGTTCACATCGTTTCGACAGCTCTCTCAGAGCACACGCGAAGAGCTCTTCACCATTTCACACTGGCTGGAGCAGAATATGCGTGAATACACACACATTTATGCAACGGAGCGTGGAGAGGTTGTGCTGCGCTCCCTGCAGCTGCTAAAGGATCATCAGAAGAGCAGCAGCTGGGGCACCGAAGCATTGGTGAGTAATGTTGAGAGCATGAGAGGAGGGCAATCTTACTTCAGCATACATAAATTGTATATTGAGTAAGAAATGGTGACTTCCAATCCTCTCAATGTGAAGCACCTAACGGCAGTTCTTCCAGTTCTATTTAAGTGATTTGTGAGTGCTAAAAGTTTGTGTTTAAGTGTGTGAGTGACTTGTGCTGTGCCGATTTTCTGTGTAGCCTTTTTACATGACAATGCGAAAGCTTTCAATATCGTCTCATTGAATTGCATATGCAACTCTGTGCGCATAACGGCAGTTTTCCCAAATAACTTCCGTTGATGGCGACCACCGAAGCCATAATTCATTTTTCGCTATTCAACAACGTCTCTTGTCGTATTTGGAGTTATTTTATTTAATTTTGTACGCGTTTTTTGTTTATCGTGTAAATTCAATACAATTAAAATGGCAGACTTTTGCACACCGAAAGAAATTTGCCAATTGCCAATGAATCGTATGCCCGATATTCACACTCTTTCCGTGGACAGCATCCATGTGCGCTGCTCCACGCCGATTGTGGGCAAGTTGCGTTCACCCAACTTGTCGCCCATTCGAAAGGATAAGCGATTGAAAAGTCCTGCCTCGCCGATGATCTTTGCGAAGCAAATGCACAAGGCGTCACAGCAGTCGGAAAAATCGGCAGCAAATCCTGTCAAGAACTCTGGCCTCGACGATGACAGCAACAGCAGCTTGAATAACTTTCTGGATGACTCGAGTGCCAACAATATGGAGACCTCCCTGACCCAGGAGTCGCGTCGTCGTTCCATTCAAGCGGCCAATCATTCCTATGTACTGAATCATGCCACGAATGTGAAGGAAGTGCTGCTCCTCGTCGGCTTGGAAACGTATCTGGATAAGTTCGAGGATTCCCACATAGACTTACTCGAGCTGGTGTCTATGAAGCGAGCAGATCTGAAGAACATCGGCGTACGCAAGGATGAGGACTGCAATCGCATACTGGAAGCGCTCAAGGAGCTGTAATTGAGAAGCTTTTCAGGCTATCGCTGGCTGATATGCAAATTTGATTTAAATTTTTCTTATTCTAATCAATTATTGATGTGAAAATATTTGTATGCTAAAAACTGTTTTGAGTCGGTATTAAATCGCTTGCCTTAAACCTCAATGGGTCTACTATTATATTATCATAAAATAAATTAAATCTCTCGCAAAAATACAATATATTTTTATATATATTTACTCCTAAGTTCTTATTGAGTTTTCTTTACTTGTATCCTTGGTCTCAAGAACTTGTTCTCTTGCAGCGACCACGTCACAGCGGACGTCAGAATGAGCCGAAGAAGAATACCTCAGCCAGACTGCAGCAAATGTGCGTATCTATTCCAGATGCCCTGTAAAAATTCCCCACCTAATTTATACTCAATCTCCCTTCAGTTTCGAGAAGAAAGCCAACAAATTGTATTTGCGCGCTACGCAAACGATTGAGCAGTCCACTGGGTTCTCGATTAAGAAAGCCTCCTCGCACACGGATCACCTGACCTCCGAGGATCTGCTCGACGGCGATCAGGAGCTGGACAAGTATTTGGTCATGCTGTTGGGCTTGCAGCGTCTGCTCAATTGGGAGCGCGCCATCATGCGGGATATAATACCGCAGTCGAAGCATAATGAAGTATTTGCCAGGCTGGCCTATAATGCCATCGATCTGGTGGTCAAGGATGCGGATGCTATCACACAGCGCATCTTACGCTGCATTTCACGCAAGGAATGGACCTCGGCGCTGGGCATCTTTTCGGCTCTGAAACGTGTGATCCTGCTGCAGCCAGACATTGAGCGGACCTACGATGCCGCACAGCGGGAACAGTTGACCAAGGTGCTCAACAAGCTGCAGCAGACGGGTGCCAAGGCCTTGGAGCACTTCCTGGACGTGGTCAAGGGCGAATCAAGCACCAACATTGTGGGCCAGAGCAATGTGCCCAAAGATGCGACCGTGCACGAATTGACCTCGAACACAATTTGGTTTCTCGAGCATTTGTATGAACACTTCGATGTAATTGGCTCCATATTGGCGCAGGATGTGCTATACTCCACGCAGCTGGACACCATATTGATGAAGAAGGCGCTGCCTGGCGAAGAGCGCAACAAGGCGCTGTTGGCCATCTATATAAGTGGGCTTTCTATATCCATGAGACCATAACTACCTTTACTTATATATTTTATCTTTACAGAGAAAGCTTTGGCGGAGCTCAATCTGTCCATCATGAACAAGTGTGAGCAGTACAATGATCAGGCCACCAAACATCTCTTCCGCCTAAACAATATACACTACATCCTGAAATCGCTGCAGCGCTCCAATCTGATTGATTTGGTGACGCTGGCGGAGCCGGACTGTGAGCATAGTTATTTGGAAATGATACGTGAGCTAAAGACGAGCTACCAGAAGACCTGGTCCAAAATGCTCTCGGGCATTTACTCGCTGGAGGAGCTGCCCAAGCCGGTGGCCGGGAAGGTGAAGGATAAGGATCGCAGTGTGCTCAAGGAGAGATTTTCGGTATAGAGATATAATAAGAGAGAGAGTTGTATATTGGAATCGTTTGTGTCATATATACAATTTCTTTTAGAATTTCAACAAGGACTTTGAGGAGGCTTGCAAAATTCAGCGTGGCATCTCCATACCCGATGTCATCCTGCGCGAAGGCATCAAACGTGACAATGTGGAGCACATACTGCCAAACTACAATCGATTCTTTGAGATGTGAGCCACAACTCAGATTATAATTATCCCCAATCTATGATCTTTTAAACTTTCTTCCAGGTACGCTGGCGTGCAGTTTAGCAAAAATCCGGATAAATATGTCAAGTATCGGCCTCACGAGATAAATGCAATGCTTAGCAAGCTCTTCGATGACTCCGCCTAAGGCAAAGCCCAAGCCCAAGCCCAAGCCCATAGTCCATAAGATCATTCCCTCAGCTTGTACGTTCGTTCGGCTTTTTAATTCCAACATAATAAATATTGATTTTTGTAAAAATTATCATACATACAATACGCAATAGAGAGTGTAGCCTAAAAAATATTAAATGCCATGTAAATGTGGAAGCAATTCCTTTCTAGTAAAGGAAGTTGGTGGATGGCGCCTCGGGTCGTCCACAGGCGCCGTAATGCTGCACCGCCACAGTGCTATTGGTACGACAATTCTCGATGTCCAGGAAGCAGTCGTTCAAGTAGGTCTTGTTGTCGCTGCCACAGACCGGCTCGAATTCACGCGGACAGATGCGAGCGCAGCCCTTGAACTGGAAGGCGGCCAGACAGCGCTTCAGCGGCACCACAAACACATGCTTGCCGCAGTTCTCCTTGCGCATGTGGCACTCGGACTTGTAGAACTTGTTGTCGGAGCCGCAAACGAAATTCGGCGGCTGCGCATCGCAATCGGATTCACAGTCGGCGGTCAGGGCGCAGTTCTTCAGCGAGACGGGCACGACGCGCAGGTTGCATGTGCGGCGCTTGAATTCGCACATCGAGCCAAAGGTGTTGCCATCGGAGCCACAAACCGGCTGCTGCTCCAGATCGGCGCGCGTGCAAGCATCGCCGCAGTCCTTGGCAGGCGAATTCAGGTCCGTGCAGGGGCCAATGTGTGCCAAATTAACGCCGCGCCTGAGCAGAGGAATGCGATAAGAGTTGATTAGGCTTTCAAATTAACTTGGAGTTGGCGTTAATCACTACTCACAGGCAGGTGGCGTGGGCCAGCTCACACTCGTTGTTGTACGTCTTGGCATCGGTGCCGCACAGCTTGTCGTTGCGCTTCGAGCTGAAGATGGAGCCAAACAGATTGTTAAAGTCCTTGCATGGCGGCAGCTGCTTGCAGCGGGTCAGACGATTCTTGCACTTGTCCATGCTCATCTTCTGGATGGACTTGCGCTGCGGTCTGCGGAAAGAGATTAAATAGTAATCAACTTCCTTTGAACTCGCTCAAAGCTCTTATTTCTGTAGTTGAAGAGACATTGCTTAAAGCTCTATTATGCAGCTCAAGCTCATTGCAACTCAGAAGAAGCTTTTATAACAGTTATTGGAATGCATAAATCTGCTGTTAAAGCTTTTTTACTTATCCTCCCACTTCACTTATTGAGCTTTTCACTCTTGTCTTCATTTCACTCACCCGCAGTTGAGCATCTTCAGCTCACAGAGCGAGGAATAGATGTTGCCATCGCTGCCGCAGACATATTGTGAGGTGGCATCCGCGTCCGATTTGGGGCACTCGGTGGGGCATGTCTCCGCTGACTGGCTGCCGTGTCGCTCCTGCGGCATGCAGAAGGACAGCGGCACCTCGAACACGTGCTTGCCACAGTTGGTGGAGCGCATCTTGCAGGGACTCGCATAGAGCCGGCCATCCGAGCCACAAGTGGGTCGCGCCACACGCCAGCAGGACTCGCGGCACATGCGCGTCGACTGGCAGTGCTTGCGACTGGTCTTGACGACGCCCTGGCCACAGGTGTGCAGCTTCATCTCGCACGTGGAGTTGTAGACATTGCCATCGGAGGCGCAGATGGGTCCATCCTTCGGTGCACTGTTGCAGTCCACGGGACAGGATTCGCGCTGGGCACTCGTGTTGCTGCAGGGACCCACATGCGAGAGCTTCACGGCCGCCAGGCCCACGCGGCACGACTGGACGCGCAGCATGCAGCGATTGAGATAGGTGCGTCCGTCGGTGCCACAAACGGGATCCTTCTCCGTGCTGCAGCGATGCTTGCAGTCGGAGCCCTTCGAGCGCTCGCAGCCGTCGCGCACATCCTTCACCAGGGAGACGCCGTTGCGGGAGCAGGTCTTCTTGCGCAGCTCACACAGATTGGCATATATGAGGCCGTCGCTGCCGCACACGGGCTCCGCGCCCACCGTCAAGCTGGGCGGGCACGACCGAGGACAGCTGTTGGCATTCGTGCTGGATGCACTGGCTCGGTGCTGTCGCCCCATGGACAGCTGCTGCTGCTGCTCCAACTCCTCCTGCAGCAGATTCTCCAGTGCTGCAGCCGCTGCGCCCGGCGCCTGCATCAACGTGGCCGACAGCTCGGGCTGCGCATCCTGCCGATAGTTGATCAACAGCGAGTCCGGCGCAGCATCCGCGTTTCGATAGCGTATCACAGGCGCTTGTGCCGGCAATTTGATGATCTTAATGGGTGAATCTGTTACGGCGCCTGCAGCGAGACAGAGAGAGAGAGAGAGAGAGAGAGAGAGAGAGAAAAGAGCGAGTGAGTGAATGAGAGAGAGTTCAAGTTATTCTGAGTTCAGTTTGTTTTGCTCGGCATGCGGAAGAACTGCCACGGGGCATACAATTTACGGATTAGCTTCGAGTGGGCAAAAGTGTTTTACGCAGTTGCCCCTTTTCCATTTGTTGCTGTTGCCCCATCGCGTTGCGCACGTGTCGTGTCACGCAGGCACAGGTTAAGCAGCAACAGATCGACGAGCTGAACGTTCTTGGATGCCTATTGCAAATGTGTCGATATATAAAAAACTTAAACTAGTTCTAAGATTTACATAGTATAAGCTTAGGAAGGCTTATTATATTTGTCTATAATTTTATTTAAAATAATTTTCTAAATAAATTTAAAATAAATTAATAAAAATAAAAAATACAAATATTAATAGGAAAATATTCTTAATATATTATTTTTTTATAAGATATTATTATATTGTATTTTCAATAAAAAAAATATATATTAAAAAATATTAAAATTATTATTATTATTATTATTTTTTTTTTATTTTTATTTATTTATTTATATATTTATTATATATTTTGTATATACATATATAGTATTTACAACAACAAATTCTTAAGCTGCTCACACAATTCGCTTTGATTAACTTCTTCCCTCACGACGCGTCGTGTCACGCGCCCAACACCAACTAGTTGACGCAGCCCCGCCCCACCGCTAGCGATTATTATCAGTTGACTAATTCCCGTACAGCGAATGTGGCTTGCCAGTTAGTTGAGCTCCGCCGAGGCAGCTTTTGCGTCCGCAGAGATCCACGCTAACGGCACACAGCCCACACACGCGAAAGAAAAAAAAAACCTATTTAGTACATATCAAATGACCTCCATCTATAATTGCGCTTGCTAATCCCCAAACCAGAGATCTCAGAGACTATCTTAAAAAAAAACAAGTAAGAAAACTCTAGTCGAGAGTGCTCGACTAGATACTACCC